TGGTTGGATCACGAGGTCAGGAGTTTGAGACCATTCTAGCCAATATGGTGAAACCCTGTCTCTACTAAAAATACAAAAATTAGCCGGGCGTGGTGGCGTGTGCCTGTAGTCCCAGCTACTCAGGAGGCTGAGGCAGAAGAATCGCTTGAACCTGGGAGGTGGAGGTTGCAGTGAGCTGAGATCACGCCACTGCACTCCAGCCTGGGTGACAGAGTGAGGTTCTGTCTCCAAAAAAAAAAAAAAAAAAAAAAAAAAAAGTGACAGGGACACTGTTCTATTGCGAGCTGGGGAACTGTGTCCTCTCCCTTTGAATTGGGGCAGGTTTTTGACCCTGATGGAAGTGATGCTATGTGTCTTCCAAGGCTAGGATATAAAGGGGAATATGCCTTTCACCTGGTTCTACTGGGACGCCAGCTTTTGGAACCCAGCCACCATGCTTTGAGGAAGCCCAGGCAGCCTGCAGAGAGGCCCACTTGAGGAAGAATCACAGCCCTTTGCTGGCAGCCCAGGCTAACAGCCAGTGTCAACCTACTAGCCACGTGAGTAAGCCATCCTGGCCATCCTGAAAGAAGAAAGGTCCACACTCCACTGGAGCTGATGCAACATGACGTAGAGAAGAGCCGTCCTCACCTACCAGTGTCCAAATTGCAGATTCATGAGCAAATGAATGAGCCTCATTGCTTTAAGCCATGATATTTTGGGCTGGTTTTACATGGCGACAACTGATACAGTTCCGTATTTATGTAAACACTAAACATGCTCTTTGGTGTTTGTGTTGAGTAAATTGCTTTTATTTAGAGTTGGCTCTCCTTTTCACAAGCAGCTGTCCCAACAATTGTTCTACCCTGGATTCTGCAGTGAGGTCTGGAACCACTAAGGAAGGTGAGAAGTGACAGGCAAGTGAACTATTGTTTTTGAGTCCTCCTTGTTCAATGACTGTGAAGAGGGAATGAGGATAGTTTCCTCTTCTCCTACACTTGAAGCCTCTGTCAGCCCCTTTTCTCACATGTCCTCCAAAGGCCTCTGGGGATGTGTAGGTAGGTGGCTGCATGTGGTTTTTTTTCACAGACACACTGATGGGATTATTGTTTTGTATTTCCAACAAGTCAATGCCTCTTAAAAGAAGACGACAGACACTCCCATATCTGATATACATAGCATCCCTTGATATATTACTGCATTTATTAGTGACATTGATGACATTCAGGTACACCTATGAACTGCTCAGGGAAGTGGCTCATGTTCCTCCCTCATGTCCCTCTTGGACATCTGGGGTCCATGCTCCCCTTGAACACTCAACTGGATGTGTCTACGCTAGGAAGGGGCAGCCATCCGTTCTGGGTCCAAAGCTCAGCCATATGCCAAGAGGAAAAGATTTGATCAGACTCACTCCCCACTGTAAGCTCATACAGTATATCTCTCTTTAGCTGATCTGAAACCCAGTTGAGATATGTCTAATGATGATGATGATGATGAACTTTTCCCTTTCTATCTTAATTTTCTTCCCCTTCCTCTCTGCCTTCATCCCTTGTTCCACTGTTGCCAGTAGAATTATCCAGAAGAAATTTATTCTCCTCTTTAGATAGATCTTTTAAACCCCTTCCCAACCCAATTCATGTTCTAAAGCTTGTTACGTGTTTTTTCTTTCCAATTTGATGGACACTTTTGTTGTTGTTGTGTCTGTTTTTTAACAGGGTCTCATTCTGTCACCCAGGCTGGAGTGCAGTGGCATGATTACAGCAGTCTAGAACTCCTGGGCTCAAGCAACACTTCTGCTTCAGCCTCCTGAGTAGCTGAGACTACTGGCATGAGCCTCCATGCCCGCCATCCGTTCTGATAGACAACTCTACTTTTTTTAGCGGAAGCCACAACCCTGGGTAGGACAAATGGATGGCCAAAGAAAGTAGTCAAGATGGGTGGTGACAGTGGCTCCATCTTTTTCCTTGCCCCGCAGGCCCCTAGGAGAGGGTTTCTCTGAGACCTGTTGTTTCCCGCTCTATACCTAACAATGGTGAGGAATTAGGGCCAGCCTTTGCGGATCCAGCACTTTTCTCTAGGCCACAGTTAGCTGCTTAGAGGTTTTGGGAGGAGAAGGATCCTGTTATGACCAATTCTGCAAATGGATTCCAATATGTCTTTACAGTCCTGGGGCGCTGGGAAAGTGTGTAAGTGTGTGTGTGTGTGTGTGTGTGTGTGTGTTGGGGGTGGAGTTATTCCAGGTCATGCCACCTGGAAATCGCTGCATCAATGAGACCTGGAGCAGCTCACTTAATTGTCCCCAGAAAGGCATCTTTGCCCAAGAAGATAACCAAAATCATGGCTCAGGGAGAGATGGCCCCAGGTTATGCATCTTGAGTGTGTTTGCACGGGTGGAGGGGTGGGTAGGGTAGAAGGTTATTCAAGAGTCCTGGTTCTCCACATCTATCCAGGCCCTCAACCTTTATCCATGTGCTCATTGACTGCTCTGTTGGGGGCCTCTTTCCGCCTCAGGGCTGGCGGTGAGCTAAGAGGCTTCCGGTGTCAGGGAAGGCTCCACCTTGGGTATTCAAGGCCACTTTCTGTGCATGTGTGTGCACCTGTGCGCACGCTTTCCCAGAAGCAAGTCTCTTTGCTGTTTTGGGAGCTTCGTGTCCTGGAGCCAGGGCTTTGTGCTAATGAGTGCTTTGAGAGGATGAAATTCCTGAGATCTCGCTCGCTGACCCTCTGCCTTCCTTCCTTGGCCAACAGCCCGTCCCAGGGAGCGGCGTGATTCTTACCACTGCCTTCACTCCTTGAAAGAACAAACATCTTCACTGCAGCCTGTGAGCGCTGGTGTGAGGTGATTGTTTATAGTAGATGTTTCCATGACACTCATTTATTTCTTCTGCAAATACAACTGTATTGGGGGAGGGGACGGAGACACGATAGGGTAGGGAGACTGGAACCTACGAAGACCTTCCAGTTTCCTATTTACATTCCTCTGTAGGATGAGAAGCCCCTTCCCTTTCCCTGGGTCTCCACCATCCCAGACTCCTAAAGCGTCCCTCAAACCCATCTTGGTTTCGTGCGGTAGAGACAGAGACGGGGCTGGGCTCCGAGTAAGGTGGGGAGGGGAGGAACCATGTGCGTGAGGAAGCAGCTTTTACCAGGAGAAGTGGGAAAAAGCCCCAACTTTGACTGCTCGGAGTCGGGATTCAGTAATGACGAGCAGCAGTGACCAGCACCGGGGGTGGTGTGTGCACGAGTGTTCCTGAGGGGTCTGTGGCACTTCGCAGCTGAGCCAATGACTCACTCTAAATCTGAGCGACTTTGAGAGGTCATTTTAGTCATCCCCCGGTCTGCATCACGTTTGGAGGGGGTGGTGCGCTGCTCTGGGGACGTGTCTGGGTGCGGAGGGAGTGGGGGTGGGGAGGCGGCGCGTGACCTCTTTGAAAAGCTCTCCGGCGAAGGACGTTCCCCGGCTCTCCCGGGCCGCCGGCTCCTGGGTTTCCCCATCATAGAATCAGCATGGTCCTCTCGGGAACTGCTGTTTGCAGGATGGAAACCGGATGTTGGCTTCCATGAGTGGGCGGGGGCTCCACTTCCCTCAGACCTGTCCGGGGTAATTGCGACCCGTCAGGGTCCCGTTAGAAGCTACCATTTCCTTCACTCACCAGAAACTTGCCACGCAGTGTGAGCTGAGAGAGAAGCGAGCAGAGACGCTACACCGCCTTCTCCCCGGCAATGCGCATGATTCTGCGGCTCTGTGCTCGCCACACTTCAACGCACCTTGAAATGGGCTCGCCTCCTTCGCGCCGCGACGGGCGGAAGGCTGAGCCAATCGGACCCCGGGATTGAGGGAGGCGCCCAATAGGCGGGCGGCGGGGGCGGTTCCAGAGGCCCGGCCCGGCTAGGCTTCACCGTGGACCTGGCTGCGCTCCGCCCGGGCGAGTAGTGCAGGTGCCGCTGCGCCGGGGCCGGGGAGGCGCGCGCCGAGCCGAGCGGAGCCTAGGAGGGATGGAGAGCTGGCCGCCCGGGCTGCAGGAGCACCGGCGCGGGGCGTAGGCGGCGCGAGGCGGGCGCGAGGCGGGCGCTCGGGCGCGAGGCGCGTGCGGGCGCGGGAGCACTTTGCGATAGGATGAGGCTCCGGGCTGGCGCGGTAGTACTATGATTTGGTATGTGGCCACTTTCATAGCAAGTGTGATCGGCACCCGAGGGCTTGCGGCTCAAGGTGAGTTGAAGTGCGGCGTTTCTCCCCTGCCCCTCCCGGCGCCCTCGGCCCCTCGCGCTCGGCCCCCTCGGTTTCCCGGTTCCTCGGCCCCCCGGTTCCCCAGCTCCCCAGCGCGCCTTCCCGCGGGCGAGGCTTGGGCTCCGGCGCGGGCCAGGCGCGCCGGGGAGCATTGCTGGGGAGGGCCTGCGGGCCGTGGGCTGGAGGGGCGGGCGGGAAGGGGCCAGAGCCCACGGGCTGCCGGGCACTCGGGGAAAGGACGCAGTGGAACCCAGGTCGACTTCGCCCACCATGGGCCCCGCGGTGCACCCCGGCGCGCCGAGCCCGTCGCCTCCTACCCGGCGGCCGCCTCCCAGAGCTGCGGGAAACTCTAGCTGCGGGAGTTTGCGGTCTCCGGGCAGGCTGCAGCACGCTCGAGCCCCGCGCCGCGAGGAGCGCCTGCGGGGAGGCGCGACCGGGAGGATCCCTGGGACTCGCGGCACACGAGTCTAAGGCCCCGGGTTCGCGGCCCTGCGGGCGCCCACCGTTTCGCTCGCGCCCTTCCTGCCCACACATCTTGGCAGCTGGAGGTCGGAGCCCCCTTACAGGGGCGCCTGGTGAGAGGAGGATTGATGAGGCCGGCTTCGAGGTGTGTCCGCTTTTGGCCGGACCCGGCCGGCGCCCGCGCCTCTCAGCCGCACCTGGGCCCAGGCCAGGCAAAAGTTCCCCGGGAGCGCGCCGCAGCCGCGCGGGCCCCACGCCGCCCTCCCCGGCTGCGAGGCAGAGCTGGATGGGGGCTGGAGGGAGGGGCGGGGGAGAGGGGTCCCCACGCTGTGAATCCGAGCGGAGGGGGGATTTTCTCTTTCCGCTTTCCTGGGTCTGAGCTGGGGGAGACGCAAGGGGGAAGCCGCCGAGTTGGGTGATGCGTGCGTGAGCGCGCGGGCTTTTGCTTTGGCGATGGGCAGAGCGACCTACAAGCCTCTGGGTGGCACCCCCGGCTCTCGGCCCTTGTATGGAAGTGGGAGCGGAGCCTGGAGGGAGCCAGGACTGTGAGCTCAGGGCTGTCAGCGCGCAGACACGACCCGGCTGCGGGCAAGTTCACCAAGCCGGAGGAGATGGCGGCGGGAGAGAACCCGCTGTGGGGGGAGTCAGCAGGCAGGACTCGCCGACGGAGCACCCTCTCCCAGCGGCATGGGGCACCGGGTGGGCTGGAGGCGCCTCTCGCGGGGTCCCCTCGTCACCGGTCTCTGCAGGGGGGAGTGCTTCAAGAAACTTTCTGGAATGGAATGAATATGTCGCCTCTGCTTCTGGGGAGGGTGGTGGTGTCTGAAAACAGAATGAGCAGAGGGCGAAGGGAAGGGTGATTTTGTTAACTGACATGTTGGTCCGGGCGGTTTTAAAACTCTTCGTTTGTCAGGTGGGAACAGAGGCAAGGGTGATGGCGGAAGCTTATGGAACGCGGGGTGGATGTGAGGTGGGTCGGGCTGCGCTTGACAGTCTGCCTGTAGCCTCATCCTCTCCCCCATTTCCTTGCCGTCTTCCAATGCCCGCATCCTCCTCCCCTCCCGTTTTTGGTATGTTCCTGCTATGGGACTGTCCCTGAAAGCACAAAAGGATGAGCTGGGATCTTTGAATAGAACAGAGACGCTGAAGGAAGGCTCTGAAATAGCCTACAAACCTAAGTCAGGGTGGGCAATGGACTTCTTTGCAAGTTTAAGCCCAGAATAAAGGAAAATGAGTTTATACTGCAGCAACACACAGAATCGCAAGATAGAAGAAAAGGCTTCCCAAAATTGAAGGTTGCCCGGCATGAAGGTTATGCCCTCTTTCAGGGTGCAGAGGGGTCCTTCTGTCTGGAATGGCTGGACATGTACCCCTGTCTGGAAGCAGAGGGTGACCTTACTGGTCTTGGGGTCTTTTTTAGCTTCAAGTGCTCTGTGTGTGGTTAGTTAAGGACCTAGGTCTAGAGCCATATGACTGGGATTCGAATTCTGGCTCTGCCACCTGCTGACCCTGTGACCTTGGGCAAATTCTCAACCTCTCTAAATGTCACTTGCCTCAATAGAAAATGTGCTAACAGTATGCGCTTTTAGGGTTTTTCGGTGGACATGAGTGTTATAAGGAAACAAACAACTACCTGTTATATAGTATGTGCTCAGGAAATATTAACATCATTTTCTCAGTGTCCCTGGGATTCCAGGATCCTCCTCAGTTTCTTTCCCTTGGGCCATTCAGGGCACTAGGAGCTGGGAATATGTTGCAGGGAAGTTCAGAAGGCTGCCCATGTCAGGAAGTAAGACCCCTTTCTGGGCTGACCTTGTCTGGGCAGAACCTCTTGTCCCTGGCATCCCAGGGACACGTGTGCAGGGTGTGCAGGCCTCAGAGCTGCTCAGAAGTCCTTTGCAAGGTCTCCAAAGCTGGAATGTTATCAGTGGCCAGAGGTTTATGGAAGGACACAGCCCGGGAGGTGAGGGCTTACAGCACACAGCCTCTGGAGAGAGAGGGTGGGTGCCCGCTCGTGTGAGCAGCACCAGCCAGTGTTCACATGCTAGTGAGGCTCCCTGCGAGAGCTCAGCTGTTCCCTGACTGGCAGAGGTGACTTCTGGGGAAGTCCCTCAGCAGGAGGGACTTTGAGATGCCACCCTTGGGAATTGGCCATAGCAGGGGCTACTCCGGCAGAGGGGAAAAAGGGATGATGTTGTGTTGGGACCCAACTCCATCAGCCCTCGGGTGTGGGACAGAGGTTGGAATGGGCTCTTCTTTTTGACTTTGAGTGTGTGTGCCTAGGAGGTGGTTAAGGTCAGTGGACAGGTTGGGGAGTGTGGAGAACAGAGAGGCTGGAGTGCTACACAGAACCTGGAAGACAGTGATTGGTGTAGACTCAGTAGCTCAGACGGCTGCTGAGCCCGCCCAGGGGAGTTCCTACTCTGTGGGAGGACCCTGGGCCGTGCTTAGCTGACTGTGGACCTTGGATAGGGGAGGCAAGTCTGGGACTTTCCTCCCACGCCTGCCTTCTCTGTCTGCCACAGATTCCGTGGTTGCATTATCCCTGACTACAGTGTCCCCAAATACAATGAGGTTCTGACTCAGATCCTGCTACTAGTTGGACCATTGCCCTCTACTTTCTACCTGGCCTTGACCTACCCTTCTTCCTTTTGGTAATGAAGATGGGAGGGTGGAGGTTTGGACTCAGAGGTTGCTATCAAGACCCCGTGGTGAGCCTATCAGCTGAGAAGGACTTAACTCAGGAAGTGGTCAGTGGATGGATGGATGTGTGTGTGTGTGTCCTCAGCACACACACGCTGGGGACAGGAGTGTGTCTGGCAGCCTGTGCCCTGGGGGATGTGAAAAGGGCTTGGCTGAGGGCAGTGGGAAAATCAGCTTTCAGCTGCGGGCCTGTGGCCCTGCATGTGCTGGTCTTGGAGTTGCAGGGTTCCAGACCTGGAGTGGTTTCGTGTTTCTGGCTCTGAGACAGAAAGCTGGGATCTGGTTACAAAAGAGCAGAGGCTGGCTGGCTGGAAGATTCTGAGCCCCAGCATCACTCTGGCCCTCACTCCAACCTCCTGTGCCTTTGCCCTCTCCCCAGCCTGGGTGCTGGCTTGTGTCTTCTTCCTTGGCCCTCTCTTCCTCAGCCCTGCTGGCTGCTCCCTGCTGGGTGCTTCAAGATGTGGGGGTGGGAGATAAGCTCTAAAGAGGGCTGGGCCTGAGATTTAAGGTAGCCCTCTCCACATCCTGTGGCCTTCTCAGGCTGGGGTGCAGGGTACTTAGGGAGCAGTCCCCTTCCACCTGCTTCCTAGAAGAGTGAAGCAGCTTGTGTGAAGAGTGGATCTGAATGGTCAAAGAGCTGCAACTGTTGACAGCTTCCAGCTGTCCAGAAGTGTGTGTGCGCACACATGCATATGTGTGCACTTGTGTGTGTGCATACACACATGTTCCTATATGTGTGTACATATGTGTGCCCCTGCATGTGTACATATATGTGCCCCGTGTGTGTATGCATGCCAGCATGTATATGCATTGCATATGTGTGCACACCTGTATGTGTGTGCACATGTGCCCATCCGTGTGAAACTTGTATGTGTGCATGCTCACAAGTGCTTGAGTGCCTGTGTGTTTGTGTGCACGTGCGTGGAGTGGCAAGGTGGGGAATTTAGTGTGCAGACACGAGGTGGGGGCCGCTCCTCTCCGTGCTGCAGCCCTGAGAGCAGAGAGACCCTTGGAGCCAACTTCTTGCCTTCGTATCCCCTCCCACTCTGCCGAGGTGCCCTTGGTGCTGGAGTCTAGGCAGCACGGAGGTTATCCGGAGCCCGGGCCTGTCTGTCTCGCTGAGGGTGTGGCTGTGGTCTCAGTTGCTCACTCCAGAGGACTCTGGGGTTGGACAGGCAGCTTATGCCCATTCCCCACAAGGCGCTGCCCATGGGTGTGAGCCCAGTGTGCTGGAGGCAGCTGACCTATTTTTCTTGGGAATCTTCCTGCTTTTCTATTCTCTCTTGCGTGAATAAGCAGGAGATGGGGCCTCCAAGAGGGCTCTGGAGAAAGAGTCCATGTGCGCCAGGGCTGGGAGGAGTCTCAGCCGGCCTGACTGTCCTTTCTGAGAAGGCCCCGCTCAGCCTGGCTTTCGGTCCCCCGTGGCCCCTTGCCTCCCTCCCAGCCGTGTATGCCGCTGAGATGGAGTGGGGGCCTGTGACTTGCACACAGGCACAGACTGTATGAGGTGAGTCACTGTCTTCATTTTCTGGCTTCGGAGTAGGAATGTTGATGTTGCCCAGGGAGTAAACATGGGACTTCGGCTTCCCACGGACTTACTGCCTCTATCTGGCACCTTACCACGGAGCCCAGCCTCCTGGGGGCTGAGCCCACGGTGCCCTCAGTTGGCCAGACTGCCTGCCAGCTGCAGGGGTGCGTGCACCTGGGCCCTGCGAGTGCCAGGCAGGCCTCTGCCCAGGTAGGGAGGGGGCAGTGGGGGTGTGGCTTTGCCTCTGCTGAGGAGCCATTAAAGGAGTGGAGCCGAGATTGAATTACTGACTTCCTTCCTGCCAGTGGCTCCTGGGGAAAGGACTCTTGGAAATACAATCTAGCTGAGAGCAAATTAAGGTTGCTAATAGCATCCCGGCCTCACAGCTGCTGGGGGAGCCCAACCGAGAAGGGTCAGGGCAGAGCGGCCCCTGCAGGAGGAAGGAGCCTGGCGACCTAGCACCTCCCCAGCGCCTCTCTCCTTAAGGTGCGGCTAGGGCTCCCTGACCCCTGGCTTCCGAACCCGAGAGGTTTGGTGGCGAGTGGGGGCCGGGAGGGCTGTGAGGGCACTAAGGGGCGATCACTGAAGGGTGGAGACGCTCTGAGGTGCTGTCGGGTTTTGTGGGGGCTTTCCTGCAGGCAGCAGGGTGTCCAGAACAGCCTGTACCTGCCTGCCTTCCTGTAGGGAGAACAGGACGCCGTCGGCGTTTTGGGCCAGGTCTCTCCCCCGCCGCCTCGTCCTTTCTGGGTGTTCGCTGTGCTTTGGGTCCCGCCTTCCTCCTGCCTTCCTTTGGGCGTGTGCCTCCCACTTTGTGAGAGCCCCGGGTCTGCCGGCTTCCTGGAATCTCCTGGAGCCTCCTGGCTTGTCAGGGAGGAGGGGTTGGGGGACTATTGGGGGCTGTGCCTTTTTTGGACTCAGCAGGGATTATTTTTAGGCTGGCAGATGGAGGTGGCGGTGGCTGTCGCTGGTATTATTAGACAACAGGCCTGTGGTTTGGAAGTCTGGTGCCCAGAGGAGGAGGAGGAGGAGGAGGAGGAGGAGGAGGCTGCAATAAGGACTTGTACTAATGAGCAACGGAGGCTGGTGCTCGCTCCGTTTCCCCCCTTCCCCAGCCACCAGCCAGACCTAGCGAGGGGTCTCAGAGTCTCAGGCAGAAGGCCGGGCTCCTCAGAGCGGGTCAGAACCCACCCGGCTGCCTTCTGAGACAGGCCCACCCTATGGTCCTAGGCTTCAGGGTCTGGACTGGCAAAACCTGTCCCAAGTGTGGTGTGGGAGTTGCCGACTTCTGGCTCAGGCCCTAAGAAAGGGAAAAGTGAGGGACAGTGGGTGAAAGGCCTTGGTCCCGGGGCCTGGGTCGGGCCAGGATGACCTCTGCGCCCCCTGCTTGCTGAGAAGGACAGGGACCCCATCCGTGCATCAGGCACAGCTGGAAGCGAGTAACTTTGGGTGAGCAGCGCAACTCCCTGTTGCTCATTTTTCAGTGGGAGACAGCGGTGCTTGTGTCAGGAGGGCCATTGTGGGCAGGGATTGAGATTCCCTGCGTTCCCAGCACAGAGCCTAGTGTGCAGCAGGCACTCACAGTGTGAGAGGCTTGCATGCCAGCTGATGCTCGCCCGGCCCTGCTCCTCACACCTTGCCCTGCACTCCTTCCTCTGTGTTTAGAGCAGTCCTGCTCTCAGGTACCCTCCTCCCCCCAGCCCTCCCCTGGAGGAGCAGCTCCAGGTTGTGAGTGCTGGGCATGGGCTGTGCCAGGCCCTGGATGCCTCATGGTTCTGCACAGGGGGTCCAACGGCAGCCCTGGACTCAGCCAGCCACTGGGTACCACCTGGCCCAGAGAGCAGGAGATTTGTACCCTGTGGGCTTCCAAAAAGGTCAGCCAGACCTCCAGGGGCTACCTCGTCTTTCCTTGCCCTCCTCCTTTCTCTTCCCCGCCATAACTGCTCCAGAGGGAGCTGGGCACACCCCCAAGATACAGATTTACTAGGTTCTGGGCACTACTATTTCTGGCCTTCTCTAAAAAGAGTGAGACCTATGGCACCACATGGGTGCCTTTCACTGTGCCCACCCCTGACAATGCCAGTTTTCCCCCTTTGAGGGAGGAGCCTGGTCCCTCTGGGCTGCTGTGGTGGGAGAGGGGCTCAGCAGGCTTCACCCTCCCCTTCCTCTCTTCCTCCTGTTCCTCCCCTTTCTCCCCTCTCTTCAGGAGCCAGCCCCTCCCCCTTCCACTCTCCGATCTGCCCCCACCCAGGCTCTGGGGTGTTCTTACAGTCTGTGTCTGTATCCAGCTGGCCTGAACTCACCCTCCCAGGGATGGGCTTTGCACCTGGCCCTTCCTCCGCTCTCCTCTTTGCTCTCTGCTTTGCACTTCTTTTACTCCTGGATGTGGGTTTGGTTTCCCCCTATATTTGGGTTTCTCTATCTCTCCTCCATCTTCCCTCTTTACTGCCAGCCTGATTACTTTTTTTCACATTGAGCTTTTCTGGAGAGAGAGAGTGTGTTATTAGACATACTTTGGCTCAGAAACGATCAGGCTTAGGGAGAAGTGCTTGTGGGTGATGGAGTGAGAGAACATGCCGTGCGTGTGTGTGTGCGTGCGCATGTGTGTGTGAAGGAGATGACAGAAAACCGATAAATATTTTAGGATCCAGAAAAGCAAGAGGGCTTGGACCGAGGGTGGAGGCCAGGACACGGGCACCCACACCACTGCTTTGTTCTGGGGAAGCTCCCTCTCATTTTGTCTTGCTTCTCCTCTTTGGGATGTGTCCTCTCTGCAGCTGCCTCTGCCTGGTTGAAAGGGTCTTTGGGAAGAGATGCTAGGAGGGGACTGCCTGCCTTGAGGGTAGGCCTTGGGTTGGGTGCTCAGCGCTTCGCCCAGGGGCTGGCTGGGGCTGGGGTGGGAGCCCAGCGCTGGGGAAGGTTTGAAGAGCCTGCCTCATTGCTATGCAGTGAGAATGAGGCAGGCTAGGTGCAAATGAGCGGCCTCACAGCGGGAACCCATGTCAAAGCCAACCCACCTCCTGGCGTTGTCCCCTAGAGCCCTCCACCTGGAAGCCAGCTCACCAGAGCAAAACTTCACTGTTGGAGGTCCCGCTGTCCCCCTAGGCCTCTGTTCCTCCTGCCTGGGCCCTAGGGTCAAAGCTCTGGGGAGGAGCCACCTTCTGTTGCCCACTCTGCCCTCCTCTAGGTAACATGGCACTTGGGAATAACTCCCTCCTCTTCCCCTAGGCTCCTGTAGTTTCTTATCTCCTCACAGGTCTGTGCTGTAGACACACACACACCACACACACACACACACACACACACACACACACACACACACAGCTTCTCTGCAAGCTCATGGCGCTCATTATTCACCCATTCCTCTTGGTCCAGCATCTGCCTTGTGGTCCTGGCTGCTGGGAGGCAGGCTCTCCTGCTGAGGGCCCCTGGGGCTGTGGGGGAGGCGAGGCTGCAGCTGGGCACTCTCCCTGCTTTCCCTGAGGGGCTGGGATGCAAACTTAGCCTGAAGCAAGGTTGGGGGTGGGGAATTGGGAAACCTGCTGGGGCCTCAGGCAGGTGAGTGCGATGCTCTGCTCTGCTCCAAAAATACTCTGTGATCTTAGCTCTTTCTCTAGAAAACAGTGATGTCACCAGGAGCCAATCAGCTTCTGGAAGGGCTTGCCTCCTCCCTCTTCCGCAACTTGCAGGGGAGGGGGAGGGGGAGAACAAGACACACAGAGATGACATACAGACAGACACGGAGAGCCACAGACAGGGAAGTACACACATGCAGAGACAGAGCCCTTGCATACAGAGAAGCAGGCAGAACCCCTCCCCTTGCAAGAGCCAACCAGAACACACACACACACACACACACACACACACACACACACACACGCTGGTAGACAGAAACAGGGAGAGAGACAGGCAGGTAGACACAGTCACCCACATAGAGCAAGAGCTAGAGAGAGACAGAGAGAGACACAGAAAGACATGGAGAAGGAGCAGGAGCCAGAGAGAGGTGGACAGATAGACACACACGCAGAGATGGAGCCAGCAAGACAAATAGGCAGGCAGACAGACAGAAGGAGCCAGAGAGAGACAGACACACAGAGGAGCCAGCAAGGCAGACAGACAGAGATCCAGAGATGAGAGAGAGAGAGAGAGACAGAGGAGCCAGTAAGACAGACAAACAGAGATCCAGAGATGAGAGAGAGAGAGAGAGAGAGAACAAACACACACAGAGGAACCCGGCATGTGTGTACGTGTGCACAGACACACAGAGGTGGCCAGACACAGACATGAAGGGATACGAGACAGCAAGGTGCACACAGGGGTCTGAGATGCAGAGAGAGTCAGACCCAGGCACCGGAATGGGGAATGGCAGGGACTGGTGCTGCCCTCCTCTGGGCATCCTCCCCTGCGGGAGTCCCAGCTGGCTCTCTGTAAGCTGCCGCTTCAGTACTGCAGCTGCTGTCCTAGGTGCTGCCCTGGAGAGTTGGGTGCCTGGCCTGGGACCAGAAGGGTCTGGGGCTGGGGAAAGCTGTGGTCAGTTGGGAGTAGGGGGTAGTACCAGGGAATGAAGGGGGTGAGGCTTCCCCTCAGCCATCCTTTTCCCTGGGACGTTGCTGGACAAGGTGACCTTGTGGCCTCCCTGGCCCTGCCTGGCAGTGGAGCCTGGCGTGGGAGGAGGGCTGCACGCCTTGTTTGGGCCCGGAAATGGTGCTGCGGCGCTTGGGGTGCGTGGCTCTTCCTCTCTGCAGCGTCCTCTAGCTTGCGGTGGGGTGGAGGCCGGGGTGGTCCTCCCTCCTGCTGCCTTGCTCGCCCCCTCTGCTGCCAGCCAGGGTGGGTGTGCCCTATCCCACCGTCTGATTTCGTTTTCCTCTGCCCAAGGTGAGCACGGCCCTGGGATCTCCCTCCTCTGTCCCCAGCATGCTGCTCTCCTGATGGTGATGTCTGGGGCTTGGGCCCCTCCCACTCCCCCTCTGCAGCAGGGCTGGCACACGCTGCGGGGAGGAGGGGCCAGAGAGGCCGGCTCAGCCTGCAGGGCTTTCCTTCTGGTGTTGCCACGAGCAGCCTCGGCTGAGCTTGTTCGGGATTTCCCTGCTCCTGCATGGAGTACCCTTGTTTTGTGCCGTGCACATCAGGCTGAGCTGGGGGTGGGGTGGAGGAGGAAGGCTGGCTCTGTCATTTCCCACCAGGCTGTAGTGGCAAGCGTCCTGGTGCAGAAAGAATGTTCCATGTACACAGGCGGCCACAACTGGGCAGCGCTGTGGGCCTCCAGAGGGGGCCAGGCCCCTCACCTCCATGTCCTGGACTCCTTGTAATTCATGCAGCGGGATGACGCCTACGGCTCTTTGAGACTGGGGAGGGAAGAGCTGGCGTGTAGGACTGAAGAGAATGGCTTCCCTCTCCTTTCCTCTCTCTTCCTTTCCCCCAAGTTGTAGATGTTTGGGGGCCCCAGGACAGAGGGAGGTATGAGCAGCGAGGGGGAAAGGGATGGAAGGTGTGCGTGAGACCCTCCTGGGAGGGCACGGTAGCCCATGGAGGGCAGCTGGTGGGAGGTGGGGCCACCCTGTGACATGGGCATGGGGCTGCTGGGGCAGGATCTCTTTGTCACCTGCTTTCTGTGTCCAACCTGGCTGTCCCCATCAGGCGCCCACGGCCTGCGAGAGGAGCCCGAGTTTGTGACGGCAAGAGCTGGGGAGAGCGTGGTCCTACGATGCGACGTGATCCACCCAGTGACCGGACAGCCCCCACCCTATGTCGTAGAGTGGTTCAAGTTCGGGGTCCCCATCCCTATCTTCATCAAGTTTGGCTACTACCCCCCGCACGTGGACCCTGAGTATGCAGGTAAGGTCTGGGCATCCTGTTTCCCGCACCTTCTCCATCTGGAGTCAGCTCCTCCATGGTTCCCCTCTGGCCCCTACCTTTTCCTGACCACTCTTTATCTCTGTTTCCCCGTCTCTGCCTGGTTCCTCCCATCCTTTGTCCTCTGGTAGGTTCTAATTAAGTGGTGGGAGGAGAGGGAAGTGGAGGTGATGCAGGGTAAAGCCCTTCTAAACAGCCTAAAAACCCGCCTGGGGTGTGGAGAGGGCTGGGAGCCATAGGGGAAGCTGGAGAGGCCTGGGTGGGAGAGGGGACGGAGTGGACAGGAAGCTGAGTCAGGCAGCCCTGGGCCAGCGTGGCTTCCCTGCTTGGCTGCACCCACCCCTTCCCTCTTGGCTCTGAAGTCGGAGCTCCTTCCCATCCTGAACGTATGGATGAATCTTCGGCCCCCCACCATTTGCGGGTGCCTGGTCTCTGCTTCCTCTGTCATGCTGTCCTCTCCTTCTCCTGGCCCCGTCTGTGTCCTGCTTGGCAGTTACTCCTGCCACCAAAGGCCTCATGACTCACTGCCACTGCCTGCCCCCCAGCCCGCGGGAGAGGAGGGCGTGGGTGTGTGTGTGCGTGCGTGTGCGTGTCATTAAGCGAGCGTGTGTTGGAGTTGAAAGGAAGGGAGGAAGCAGGCAGGGCACTGCCTTCACTTTCATCTTTGCTGGTGGCTTCTGAGGTCTGCCCTGCCTTTCTCAGAATGCTTCCGTCCCTGTCTCTTTCGCTCCTGTGCCTATGTCTCATGCTCTCTTTTTGGCCAGGGATGGCTTTGAGAGTCTAGTTTTTAGGCAGATTGCCAGCGTCAGGACAAGGAGGAGAGCAGAGGTCCTGTGATATTGGCTGGGGTGAGGGGTGAGCTAAGAGTGGGTGAGGTGGGGGGCTGACCTCGAGGGTTCCTTCACCCTGCTGGCGTCATGGAAGGGGCTTCTGCACCTCTGGCCTCCTCATTGCCGCATGTGAGACACAGATGGCATCCTACTGGGGTGGGGATTGGAGCTGAGGAAGGGTGCCTCCAAGATTTTGCTCTGAGGGTCAACCCATTCCTTGTTCTCAGGCTCCTGCCTCCCTCATCTCCTGGGGTCTGGGCTTTGGTAGGATACGTAGTCTCTCTGGCACTGACAGCAGGACTGGGAGGGGACCCTAGCATCCTGGTCCCCAGCCTGCCTTCCCTCTGCTCTAGAGAGGGAAGTTGGGTGAGCCAGTCCTGGGAACCCTACTGGGATAGGCATACTGCTCAACTGAATGGAGGTGCTCCTGGGTGCGCTGGAGACCCCCCACCCATCCTCTTCTGTTGGCACTTTTTCATTCTCTCTTTCTGTCGCTTTCATCTCTTCTCATCTCTGTATCCATCATGACTGACTTTTGTCCCAGGAGACCTCCAAAAGAATGAGAGTATTCTAAGGAACTGAGGCTGCTCTCAGTGCCAAGTGCATTGAGTTGCCTTACAGGCTGGGGCAGGGCCAGCTGGGGCAGGAGAGTGGCTCTGTGGCCAAGGTGCTAGGCCCTTTCGTTTGCCACCTGCTGCTGGAGGTGGGTCCAGCTGTTGTTCTGGGGCCCTGCCATAGGGAATGCTATGAAGATTGTGAGGGGTCCCCTGTCTTTAGCTAGGGCAGAGGGTGGGGAGCTGCTGGCCTTCCCTGATGGCCTGTGGGGCTTTTTGTCTGCTCTATTCCCCCAGGCCGGGCCAGTCTTCATGATAAGGCATCTCTGCGGCTGGAACAAGTTCGCTCTGAGGACCAGGGCTGGTACGAGTGCAAAGTGCTCATGCTGGACCAGCAGTATGACACCTTCCACAACGGCAGCTGGGTCCACCTCACCATCAACGGTGAGTGAGGGCTCCTTCCGGGGTGGGTCCACCTCATCATCAACGGTGAGTGAGGGCTCCTTCCGGGGTGGGTCTACCTCACCATCAGTGGTTCCTGAGGGTTGTTTCTGGGGTGGGCCTGGAGGACTGCCCCGAGGGCCTGCCCCAGGGGAAGCCCTTCTCCCAACCGCACCCCACCCCATGGCCCTCTCCTTGTTGCTGTGGTTCCATGAGACATCAGCTTGCTCCTGCAGTGTCCCACTGCTGTCTTCCAGAAGCCTCTGCAGGCAGTGCAGGTGCCCTGGAGCAGCAGCTCCCTGCACGTGTGGTGCTGTCAGAGTCCTTAGAGGGACATGGGAAGCTGCTGCTTCAAATCAGGAGGGCTGAAGCTTTAAGGTGGCAAAATTGGTCACTGCTGGGATTATTTCTCAGCCTTGGGAAGACCCTGGTACTCCAATTCTAGTGGAATTCCTGGGGTCTCAGAGTTAGTCTTTCTTTTTAGATTGATATTTTGGTTCTCTTTAACCACATTTGATTAGTGTGTACCAAGGGTGTAGTGTGTGTCCAGCTCTGCAGCTGACGATAGAGAAACACTGACAAACAATCCCTGCTTGTGTGGGGTTTACCAGGTAGTAAAATGCAAGCATCCTGGGAAGAGTCACAGTTTTAATGGGTATCAGTTACTTACAACTCAGGTTAAATGACTCGTGCTGGATAAGATGCTTTTCAAGGGTCTGGGTAAGGGCAAGGAAGCCCCAAGAGCTTGCTGAGCTCCGGGAGTTGGGCTAGGCGGGGGGCCTGAGTCCCCGGCAGTGACAGCACTAGGGGCTGGGTCCTTGGGGTCTCCCTGGAGGGAGAGTCTCCTCTTTGTGTCCCTGGAAGGAGGTACTCTGGAGGAGCTAGAAGACTGGCACCACGGAGGAAAGATGAAGAAGTGGTCCCCGTGGTGGGAGGGGAGCGGGTTTTAAAAAACGTTTCCTTTCATTTTTTTGGCCAAAAAATTAATAATATATCCTTCATTATTCCATTGATGACAAAATTTGTATCTAGCCATCGTTGTGTTGCAGATACTGTGCTAGTTATTGAGGCTTCAACAGCGTGGGTGCTTGGGTGTGCCACATACAGCTTACGGTCATTGAGACCGTAGATGCTGTGGTTAGAATAGAGAAATTGATGTTCCTGGCTAGGAAGCTTCTCTCAGTATTGATCTGCCCTGAAGGATGGCTCTGTCCGCCCTGCCTAGAGGGGCTGGGGCAGACCTGTGTTCCTTTTGGGCCTGAGAACTTGTCTGGGGTCCTGGAAGAACAGAGTATGTTATGTTTTAGCAAGATCACTGGCTTTGGGGAAAGAAACCTTAAAGCTTGTGGCCCTAGGCTGGTGTGCGTCCAGCCTGCCAAGCCCAGCCCTCCTTGTGGGAGGTGGCTGGCTCCTGTCAGTCAGTCCCAAGAGACTGATTGAAGCATATTTGAAATCTTTGGGGGGATTGTTCCGACCACCTGCCAGACTTTTGAATCACCCCCTTTTGGTGCCAGCCGTTGCGTGAGCAAAGAATAGGAACCCAAGCAAAGTGTAATTAGAAAGGCAAATCTGCTGCTAAAATCTTGCCTCGATGAACACCAGGCTGAGGGTCCCCACATTGCTTCCCTTCTCTCCTGTGCTCTGTTCTGAATGGTGGGGTGAAACCATCTTGGGGCATTGCCTCCGTTCTTTTGCATATCCTGGATGGCAGTGTTCATTTCAGGAATCTGAGACACCAGGCATTCAGTGGACGTGCATATGACTGGAAAGTAGAATCTCACTTCAATTTTATGTTCTAGAGCATATCTGTGTTAGTTTGCATGAGTGGGAGTGGGTTCTTTGGGAATTCATAATTGCTTTGAGTGGGATAAGCATGGAGCAAGACCTTTAAAAGATGAGGTTCATTTCATAGACCCACTGTGTGCTAGCTGTGTGCTCTGGGCAAGGTTACTTAACCTGTCGGACTTCCGGCTCCTCAGTGACAAAAAGCAGCGACTACTATTTGCAGGGTTGTTGTGAGGACTGAGTGAAATGCTGGATCTTGCACAGTGTCTGGAGTGTTAATTACATGTGGGTAATTATGTGTGAGATGCTGGCCATCCTCCTTCTCAAGAGGAAACAAACAAAGTCAGATGAAAATCTAGTAGCAGGGATATCAGGCTGGAAGGTGTAGAGGACTTTGGTAGTTTTGCAAACAATTATCTATTCGAAACATAGTTTTGGACGTCCACTCTGTGGCAGGCTCTGGGAATACAGCAGGAGGCATGACCCTGTCCTGGGTCTTAAGGAGACTTCAAGAGACTGTCACATCTAGAGATTACTGCAATATGGCTTTGGGAGCACAAAGGAGGGAGAGCTTCTCTGAAGAAATGGCCTGTCTTCAGAGACCTGGCTAGGGAGGGAAGGTCATGTGCAGGTGGGAAGTGGGGTAGGGTCCTCCAGGCAGAGGAGACAGGCGTGCTCGGAATCCCAGAGCAGGGAGAGCGGCGCATTCAGGGAACGCTGCTCACAGGGAAGTGCTGGGCGGGAAAGCTGGGGATGGTTCACCATCTGCTCCAGGCTTGAGAACCAGGGCTGGCGATAAACGATGCTTTTCCATAATCAAGGCACCTACCTGCACACGGGCAGAACAGAACCAACCCTTCCGAGGTGAGAGATCTCCTTTCTCCTCTTCTGCCTTTCTCTTCTTCCCAAGTTCGAGACTTCTTCCGGCATAGATAGTTCCGTTATTGAAGGAAGGAATCCAAGCACCAGCATTCCATTGCTTTCAAACTAGAGTGTTTAATGTCAGGCGTTTTCTGACAGGGATCACCTTTGGAAAATGAAAGGCCAGTGAACAATTAGAATTACAAATTGTCTCATTTTCCTTCTGTGTTTTCTTTGAAGACCAGTTGGGTGGAAACAGACCCAATTATTTCTTTATCACATATAAAATACCCCAAAAGCCTGAGCCAAGCCTTCCTTTAGGTTGGTGAATTACATGGAGGAGAGGGCAGCCTATTACTAACCTGCACTATTAATTACAGGGCACTTGTAAAAAAGAATTAAGCCTGGAGATGCAGCTGGCAAGCTAACATCTAATTCAGTAAATAATTGAGAGTCAAACCATTATTTTCCTGAAAACTAGAAATTGTTCAACGTACTTTCCTGATTAGCACCTAAATAATAAAGTAATTATGTAGTTAGTAAGTAATTTATCACTTCAGGATGTAAATTTAATTTATTATCTTTTCTTTTAAGCTTGGCACCAGGCGTAATAGAGGCAGTGTCTGTGTTAACTGTATTTCAAGGGGCAGGCTGGGCAGGGAGAGGCTGTGTTGGAGATGGACACACACTCTTAGTGGGAAGAGGCCTGCAAGTGAGGATCCCAGGACCCCTTTACAAGGACTTTGAATGACTTTTTGCCACTATTTTTAGTATATTCTTAGGCACTGGATAAGAATTGATTTTTTTGAGGATGTGCCAGGCGTATGTTATTGCATGTGGTGACGTGTGTGAGGACGTGCGAGGCGTATGTTTTTGCATGTGATGACGTGTGCAAGGATGTGCGAGGCGTATGTTTTTGCATGTGATGACGTGTGCAAGGATGTGCGAGGCGTATATTTTTGCTTGTGATGACGTGCGAGGACAGGCGAGGCGTATGTTTTTGCATGTGGTGACGTGTGTGAGGACGTGTGAGGCGCATGTTTTTGCTTATGATAACGCGTGCTCCTGCATTCATTCAGTGGCCACCCCCTGTGTGCCCCTGATGTGCTCGCACTGAGCTGCAGGCTTCGGAGATGGGAGATGAAAGTGGTGTAACTATGGTCTTGCTCTTAAGAAGTGTTTTGTGTTTGCACTGGTGCTGGCCTGTAGGTCTGTGCATGTGTGAACACCACTCATTTGTTTGTTTCATTCTTTCATTCATTCGACAAATGTTTGCTGAGCCCTTGGCTACTACATCCAGGAACTATGCTAAAAGCTGGGCATGTGGTGACCTATATGCAAAACGGGGCTGCCCTTAAGGAGCCACCATCCTAATAAAGGGGACAGGTAAGAAACAGGTAAACACACAGAGAGAGAGAGACAGAGACTTGTAAGTGAAATGTGCTTTGAAGGAAATGAAACAGCACCAGGGAGCAGAGAATGCTGGAAGTGCCATCTGAGATGGGATGGGCTGCCCAGGTCAGGCAGCATTTTAGCAAAGACTTGCATGCACCAAAGGAGGGAGATCCAGGTACGTAGTTCTGGGCAGGTAGAGCCGCACGTGCAAAGGGCCTGAGGTCAGAAGTTCTTGGCGCATTTGAGGAAGACAAAGACAGCCAGTGTGGTTAGAGTGCGCTGGGAGGGAGAGGAGGCTGGTGCTACAGGCAGGACCAGATCCTATAGCACCGTGACTAGTTCTCGGGGCAGGGCTGTGTGGGGAGGAGGGACTCCTCCCAAAGCTTCCCGTGAGTGTCTCAGCGGCTCCTGAAGAGATGATAGTGATGATGGTGTTACTGGCAATTTGTACATTTTACAAGCTCCTTTTTACATGTTTATTCCTCACAGCATTTCTGGAGGGTGGGGGATTTAGGTATTTAGGTAAGACCCAGAGAGGCCAAGTAACTTGTCAAGGCTACCAGAAGTGGCAGGCTAGTGCTTGAACTTGGGTTCTGAGCTTCACGTACCTTGAGATGAGCTCAGCTTGACCTGCGCCAGCCTAGTGCTGTGGGCCTCAGGGCCGGAGTTCAGAACTGGGGGCCTCCTTGCCATCTCAGAAGACTGTGGAACTGATAGTCCAAGGGGTTAAGATTGACCGGATTGCTTCTACAAGCAGCTCAGGCAAATGGGACTGAGTCTGTTAAAAGCCGATTATCCAAACAGGATGGAGTTTTAATCAAATCTCCAACGCAGGGGGGAAGATGACCTGGCATAATCAGAGGAAAATGAAGAAGGGAGTGGCCTTTGGGTGGGCTGTCCACCTTCACCCGTGGAAGCCAGAGAGGGAGGAAGCAGGATGATTTTCTCAGCAGAATCTGGGAAAATGTGGCTCCGCATAGCCTTGGCCTGCATCTGTGTTAGGCCTTGGTGGGGCTCAGACGGCAAGTGTCCTGGAAATGGGGGGCCTGGCTGAGCTGGGATTCAAGAAGTAGGAGCTCCTGAGTGTCATGGATCATCGTAAAGGGAAAGACTGAAGGATGGTAGGAAAGCCTGAGGAGCTGGGAGCAGACAGTGTTTGGAAGGGCCACCCTGGAGTAGATGCTCAGTAAACAGCAGTGAACTGGGAATAAGCTACAGTGCAGAATTTGGACTCCGCCAGACTGAGTTTGGATGCACGTCTCCCTGCCAGTAATGGCGGTTCGCAGAACGTTTTGCCCATCCCCACCTTCCTTCCTTTGTCCTTGCGTTGCGCAGAGCCGCAGTGAGGGTGATGTGTGGGGCAGGCACTGTTGCCGCAGGGCAGTGACTTGGCTGATGGCGTGTCCTTCACCTTTGTGGTCTCCTTTGCAGCCCCTCCCACCTTTACAGAAACACCCCCCCAGTACATCGAGGCCAAGGAGGGTGGTAGTATCACCATGACCTGCACAGCTTTTGGGAACCCCAAGCCCATTGTCACGTGGCTCAAGGAGGGGACACTCCTCGGTGCTAGTGGGAAATACCAGGTGAGTGTGGTTCTAGGTTGGGGCCACTGAAGTCTGTTTTCCAGGGCAGCCTCCCACTGCAGCTGACCCCTGATGCTACATGCACAAGCACAGGGAAGGCTGGAAGGCCATGGCCTGGCTCAACTGCAGGCGTCTCTGTGTCACTGGCGGGAGATGGGCAAGGGGGCATCTGCCCTTCGTGTCCCCCAGATGCATGTGTCCCTACGGTCATCTCCACCTTAGCATCTCTGACTGCATCTCCCTGTTGGAGGGTAGCAGCGGTGGGTGCGAGTGTGGGTGCTGAGCTCCATCTGTTTCGGGCCCCAGGTGAGTGATGGCAGCCTGACAGTGACATCGGTCAGTCGGGAGGACAGAGGTGCCTACACCTGTCGAGCGTACAGCATTCAGGGGGAGGCTGTCCACACCACCCACCTGCTTGTCCAAGGTAGGAGCCATTTCCTCCGCCTCTCCACCCCCGGAAGCGTGAGGGGATGTCCAGCCCGGCTGAGCTACGGAGGGCATTTTCCCAGGGCTCATCTGGGGCTAGGTGGAGGTGCAGGTGGCCATGAGGACCTGTGTGGGGCCCCTGTGTGCCGCCTGCTATCCTGGTCAGAGCTCCCGCACTGGCTGCCTGGGAGAGGGCCAGGCCCACAGGCCGTGGCCGGGCACCACATGGCGTGGCAGAGAGGCCCCTGCTGTGTGGGTTTCTGGTTTCTCCTTCTGTTCAGATAGCATCTCTACCATATCTCCGCCTCCCTGGGAGAGGAGACCTCCCTCGGGTCGTCTATCCATTAGTGACGGCATCAATAAATAAAGATAGAAACTCAATCCAAGCCCCAGACGTTTAAATAACACAGTGGGCATTTGCAGAGCTGGGGTCTGTATAGTCAGCACAGGGAGATGCCAGTCTGCCCTGCCTGGAGCCTCAGAGTCCCCCAAGAGGGGCCAGGAACTGAGCAGGATGGGGCAGCGTCCAGGCCAGGGGGGTCTCCACCCTGTGCTGAGCTCGGCCCCCTGCTTAGCCCCCCCAACCCTGCCTCCTGGAGGAACTCTGGGGTTGGGGGGTTGGTGGTGGCTGCATGTTCCTCCTGGCTATGAGTGTCAAGCAGCAGCCAGGGCCAGAGGTCCCTCAGCAGCCTGGATGGAAGCTGTTCCCTCTCAGGGGAGACTTGGCCACAGCTGCCCTCTCTGTCTGTGCAGCCAGCACCAGGACTGTTGGACTTTCACCCTCTGCTTACTCCTCGGCCCCTGCACCCCCAGCTGCCCTCTTGATTTCTGGCTGGGGAGCAGCATACGGCCCTGACTCCTTGAGACTGGAGTATTCCTTGCTCTAGATTTGAAAAGAGTTGCCTTTCTCCCTGCCGCATCTCTGGCTTGGGCTCTGCTGGGAGAAGGCGGGCAGGAAAGGGGTGTGTGTGGCGGCTGGTCTGGGGAGCTAGGTGCAGGGGCCAGAAGGCGGGCAGGAAAGGGATGTGTGTGGCGGGTGGTCTGGGGAGCAGGTGCAGGGACCAGAAGGCGGGCAGGAAAGGGGTGTGTGTGGCGGCTGGTCTGGGGAGCAGGTGCAGGGGCAGGGGCAGTGGACGGGATGCCTGAGCACAGACAGCATCTGGAAGCGTCTCCATGACAGCCGCCCCCATCGCAGGGTTCAGGGCACCCCTTATTGAGGCACTGAGGGCTCCCAGGAGGCCTGGGTGCTGCTGCCGTCCCTGATCAGGCGAGGTGAGGTTTGTTCCCTGCTCTCCCCAGGGCCCCCTTTCATCGTCTCCCCTCCTGAGAACATCACCGTCAACATCTCCCAGGATGCTCTGCTCACCTGCCGGGCAGAGGCGTATCCGGGCAACCTCACCTACACCTGGTACTGGCAGGACGAGAACGTCTACTTTCAGAAGTGAGCGCCCTGCTCTGGCTTTTCAATGAGGTCACCACCCTGGTCCCCACGGGCAGGGCCCCTGAGCAGAAATTGCATGGGCAGGCTGCCCACGGCTCCTGGAGCTGGGGGAGGTGGGCGATCTGGTTCGTGTGTCTCACATGCCAAGGCCAGGGTCTGCATGGAGGGACCCTGGGGATGCCAGGGGCACGGGGTCTCCATGCCACATCTGGGGCAGTGATGGTGACTGTGTGTCTGTGGCAAGACCCCCTTCTGCTCACCCAATCCCCTGTCCCCGTGCCGCTTTGCAGTGACCTGAAGTTGAGGGTGCGCATCCTAATCGATGGGACCCTGATCATCTTCCGGGTGAAGCCGGAGGATGCTGGGAAGTACACCTGTGTGCCCAGCAACAGCCTGGGGCGCTCCCCCTCCGCCTCAGCGTACCTGACGGTGCAGTGTGAGTAGGGGTGCGGAGGAGCCTGGGTGGTGGGGCTTCCAGAAGGTTCTGGTGTTAGCCAGACTGTAGGCTGGAGGGTAGAAAAGACCAAGCATCATTTGGGGGTGTGTGGGTGGAGGAATGAATGAGGGAAAAAGGAGGGACTACTGGAGACGAGGCCGAGGCCCTGGCCAGTCGGGGTGGACCAGCTCCTACTTCGTTGGCCAGGCGTCGCTGTTCAACCAGTGCATCTCATCAGCTCAGTGCAGGCTGCACTCAGGAAGACACCTTCGAGCAGTTCCTTCTGAACGGCGTTCCTCGGGCTGAAGGCTGGCCTGCACCTCTGTGGCCAGAACCAATTGCTCTCTGATGCTCTTTTCTCAGGTGTCTTACGGAGCATAGCCCAGGCCCACGCAGGGTTAGGTTTCTCCTAGCCTTATTCCCTGCCTTTCCACACTGTGTCTGTGTCGGGGGTGATGTGCTGCAGCTCCTATGCCCACTCACTCTGGCTTCTGTGGCCTCTCCTCTTGGGTGGCTGGAGATCCAGATGAATGAGCTGCTCCTCACCCAGATGTTCAAGGGCTTTTGTGCAAGTACCACCATTCAGCTTGCTGATCTTTAATACTGAGTGGCCAGTTGCTTTCCCGCCCCCTGGCAAGCTGAGCCCTGAGACAGAGAAGGATGAGTAATGAGGAGTAATGTCCTCCTTTTGATTTGTGGATGGCCCTGTCACTCAGGCAACAAAGGCTGGCATTGTTGCTGTAGACAACAGACTCTCCCTCATTTGCCGGCTGGTGTGGGCAGATTGCTCACACCCAGTGACAGGGAGTGGCAGGGGTGAGAAGTGGAACAGTCTGGAGATGAGACTGGGGTCAGTGTATGAGCTGAGGACAAGTGGAGAATGGCTGGTGGCCCTGGAGGTGGAGCTGGTCCGACTACTGCCCAGAGCTGGATGTGGACGTTCCACTATTGGCTGCGCCTGCTGAGCCCTGTTGGACCCCTAACCTTGCAGTCTCACCCTTTCCTCTCTATGGAGTGCATCGCCTCTCTGCTTCTGCCGTCAGCCACTTAAAGGACTTTTGGTGTGCTGTATCCCCAGGCCCAAGCTTTAGAGAGCCGTGAGGCCCAGGACAACAGATCTCGCTCCCCAGACCTGCAGCGGGAAAAAGCGAGTCGAGAAGTTATTCATACGTGACTTAGGATGTGCCCAAGCTGTGCTGGGGTGGGCAAGAACTGCAGGAAGGAGAGACCCGTCCACCACAAAGGTGCGCCCCGTCCCTCTGTGCTGGACGCAGGCTGTGCCACCTGGCACGGAGGTGGCCATGGTGGGGCAGGAGGAGCCAACAGGAGGTGGCCTTTGGAAGACGAGCTGGCCAGGATGAAGGCCCCTCCTCGAAGCCATAGGCCATCTGTCTTTCTGGAGACATGTTTTGGTTTTCCCTGTCTCTCCCCAGCGCCAGCATCACCACCCACTCCCCCTTGTCCTTTTTCACCTCCTTCCTGTCTTCAAAGAAAATCCAGGGGGTTGAGATTTACAGGTGGGTGAGACAAGGATTTTTATTTCTGCTAAAAAGCAGTGTTCAGAGTATTTCCCATTCATAAACCCTTTGAAAACCTTGGAGAAAAGAAAAAAAAACTCTACCATACAAAAGTAGGAAGCTATGTCTAAATATATAACTCGGCCTGGTATTTATGTAATGCTGTTCTCTGAAGAGCTCAAAATGCTTAAAAGATACCAGCTCATTCATCCTCACTGCCTTCCTAGTTCTGGATCCTTCTCCTCCGTAGCCCTCAGGGGAAATAGGGGAGTACTGAGAGGAGGTGACTCAGCCTGCATCACAAGAGGTGTGAGGTTCTTCTTGCTCCTCCAAGAGCCAGGGTCTTGCTCTGTCATCAAAGTTGGAGTGCAGTGGTGCCATCACGGCTTACTGCAGCCTCAAACTCTTGGGCTCAAGTGATCCCCCTGCCTCAACTTCCAGAGTAGCTGGGACCACAGGTGTGTGCCACCATGCCCAGATAATTCAAAATTTTTTTTTGGTAGAGTTGGAGTCTCGCTAAATTGCCCAGGCTGGTCTTAAATTCCTAGCCTCAAGCAGTCCTCCCACCCCTGCCTCCAAAAGTGTTGAGATTACAGGTGTGGGCCACTGCACCTGGCCTGATTCTGCATTTCAACTGCAGAATCAGATGGGGAAACTGAATCTAAGGAAGGCTGGACAACCAGCAGAATGGGGAGGAAAAGTATCCGCTTTGTGGTTAAGCCTATGATAGTGTTCTTCTTTTGGTTTAGGATGTAGAGAGGAGGTACTGCTTGTTGCTCAGAAGACTTTGGGATAAGGAGCTGTTGGGAAAGGGTGTGGGCGAATGCTAGTTTCGAGGCTCGGGGTCTAGGAACTGGGGGAAATGGGCACTGAGAGACCTCGTTCAGCGGGTGAGGTCCATGGCAGAAGCATGATGGGCACTGAGGATGGGAGCAGGCTCAGACGTGCCTTTGAGTGCCTCCAGACATTCAGAACCGAAGTTCCGAGTACCTGGGCTGGTGCATGGGCTGCCTCCGGCCTGGATTCTCACCTTTCTTCCCTGTGTCTGTCTGCTTTCCCACCTGTGCTTCCTCTGTGCAGACCCAGCCCGTGTCCTCAACATGCCCCCTGTAATTTATGTGCCCGTGGGGATCCATGGCTACATCCGCTGCCCTGTGGATGCAGAACCACCAGCCACCGTGGTCAAGTGGAACAAGGACGGCCGCCCCCTGCAGGTCGAGAAGGTGCTAGAGAGATGCGTGTTGGGGGATGGAGTGAGGGCTCCCCCCAGTACTGTGATGCCACCTTGGGCTGTGGATTTCTGTCAGGACTCATGGCCCCTTCCAAAAGCCCTGGGCAAACAGAGAGCTGCTTCCGTAGGGGTCTCTGGTCTCCGGGGGTCTGTGGGTACCACCCACCCCAGGCTGGAGCTGCATGCCATCCCACGTGCTGCCTGGCCCAGCTGGGACCCAGCCTGGGATGGAGCATGGAGTCTCTGACCAGCGTTCCCTGCTCTATCATCTGTGTCTGGCAGAACCTGGGTTGGACCCTGATGGAGGATGGCTCCATTCGAATTGAGGAGGCCACAGAGGAGGCTCTTGGCACTTACACCTGTGTGCCTTACAACACCCTGGGGACCATGGGCCAGTCTGCCCCTGCGAGGCTTGTCCTGAAGGTGAGGTCCTGGGGCTGTGACCGCCTCCATGAGCTGGGCCCCTGGATCCCCGGCCTCATGAGGGTGCCTGTGCTTTCCTCCCCAGGACCCCCCCTATTTCACGGTGCTACCAGGCTGGGAGTACAGGCAGGAGGCCGGCCGGGAGCTGCTTATCCCCTGCGCGGCTGCGGGGGACCCCTTTCCTGTCATCACGTGGAGAAAGGTAGCTGGGCTCTGGAGCTCCTGGGGCTGTGGGGAGGTGTGAGGACACAGCGAGCAGTTCTATTCTGGACCTGCCCTGACCAGGCTGGATGCCGAGCAGTGAGCTGACCCTGAAGAGCAGCAGCACTCAGGAGGAGGGCAGCACGGGTGGGCCGGGGTCTCACGCGCGTCCTTCCCATCCACTTTGGGCTTCTCTCCTCACCCCCATTTCTATTCCCGCCCTCTTCCCTGCCCCTTGTTCACCAAGGTAGGGAAGCCCAGCAGAAGCAAGCACAGTGCCCTGCCCAGTGGGAGCCTACAGTTCCGTGCCCTGAGTAAGGAGGACCACGGGGAGTGGGAATGTGTTGCCACCAACGTGGTCACGAGCATCACTGCCAGCACCCACCTCACCGTCATCGGTACGTGTCTGACAGGGCGGTGGGGCCAGAACAGGCTGGCTGGGGGTGGGGTGCTGGACGCTGGGAGCATCCCCTGGTGGCCACTGCACTCTTCGGGCATCCTTCCTAAGTCCGTCCAGCCCTGAACCCCAAGTCTAGCACCTGCAGCCTTTGCCCCTGTGGGCTCTGTCAGGGAAGGGCAGCATGGCTCCTGTCCTCGGGGAGGTCTTTTTGGGGACAGGCCTGATGTCCACAGCAGCCCACCTGGGAAAGAGACGGCTGTGTGGCTAGAAGGGACTACAGAGCCTTTAAGGGCCTTAGGGAAAGCTGGAGGACTGGAATGAGAGAGACGGGGACTGTGCAGCATCTCAGATAAGGGCAGAGCTGAGACCTGCAGGCCAGGCCTGGCGTGCGGAGGCTGGGCAGGAGGAGGTTACTGGTGTTCTGTGTCTGGGCGTTCCTGTTTCTGATTGCCCAAGGCGCGTGTCCCAGGACCTTCGCCTGGACCCTCTCAGCCTGTCCTGGGTCCTGATGGCTATAATCAGTCACAGGCAACGCTTTTTGAGCCTTTACCACCAGTTTTAGGTTCCATTCTAAGTGGTCTGCACAGCTCGTCTTTCACAACTCGGGAGGTGCGAGCTGAGCTTTCCCTAGTGTGTATGTTCCTCGAAGCAGAGGTTGGCGTGACCCGAACGCTTTCTCCGGCATCACATGGTTAAGAAGTAGTGGGTCCGGGAATCGAAGCCAGGATGAGGCTCCTGACTGCTGTGCTGTGCTGCCCACACGCCGGCATTGGGGAGTCTCCTGAGGCCAGAGAACCTTACAGGAGGGGACTCTGTGGCTGTGCCTGCGACCTTAGGAGTGTTTCTGTGCTTACCAGAGAAGCACAGGATTTGGGCCAGGACGAGGAGGGCTCTGGTTTCTATTGGACCCATTCCTGATGCTATGTGATCTCCTAGTTGGACTAGACTGCACAGTGGGACAGACTTCCTGCTCCAACCCCACTAACCAGTAGGATCAGGGGAGTCAGCACCTAAGAGCACCCCATCGCCCCTATCCCTTCACTTGCAATATTGCGCTCCGCTGCCATGCACTTCAGCCTCTCAGGTTCCCCACAGCGAGACGGTGGGCACCCAGCCACGTGGCTGAGTTCTTTTCAGTCTGAGAGGTCTCCACTTGATCTCCAGGCACCAGCCCCCATGCCCCGGGCAGTGTCCGGGTCCAGGTCTCCATGACAACTGCCAACGTGTCCTGGGAACCAGGCTATGATGGAGGCTACGAGCAGACATTCTCAGTTTGGTACGGACCTCTGTGAGTCACCCCGGCATGCTTTGCTCTCTGCTTCTCCCCTCCCACATCTGCCTGCAGGCCACCCTGGGTGGGGGGAGGTAGGAGGAGGCTGCAGTTCCTGGCCCTGCATAGAGTGAGGTGGGTTGAGACAGTGATGAGGTCCTTGAGGGTGACGGGAGGGGTCGAAGGGACTCTGGGCATGGCTGTGTCCTTGTGGCCTGAGGGGTCTGGGCCTCTCTGTGCCTTCTCCCTGCTCATCTACTGCCTCATTTTGTGTCCTGCTTCATCCTCTGGATTCCTCTGGAGCCTGGAAGAGACTTCTGCCCTTCAAGGGCTTTGTGAAATTGCCCAGCCTTAAGTGTAGAGTCTAGTTTTTAGAGCTTAAATTTTTTTTTGTATTTTTGTATTTGTAGTTTTTGTGGGTACATGGTACATATATTTATAGGTATGGGGTACATGAGATATTTTGATACAGGCAGGCAATGTGTAATAATCACATAGAGGTAAAGGGGTATCCACCCCTCAAACATCTGTCCTCTGTGTTCCAACAATCCAATTATACTCATAGTGATTGAAGAATGTATGATACATTATTGTTGATTATAATCCTCTGTTGTGCTGGCAAATACCAGGTCTTACTGGTTCTTTCTCACTATGTTTTGTACATGTTCACCCTCCCCACCTCCTGTGGTCTAGTTTTTATTCTGTCTCTTCCCCAGTGGCCACAGAAACTGGTGTGGAGAGGTGATGCTCACTTCCCGGCCTTGGGGTCAGCCCCTGCTTTTTCTCTCTAGGACCATGTGTTTCTCAATTGTTTTCATTCCTCTGTTTTCAGTTTAGCCAGATGCAGTGATTTGAGATCTTTGCGCAAACCTTACGGTAGATAGAGATCTCAAAAATGTGCCAAGCGGGGTGAGGGCAGGAGGCACAGGAGGGGAGGAGACAGAAGCCTGGCTGACTCCTCCCATCCCCCCAGGGCTGCCCCTCCCCACACTCCTGTCTGAGTCAAGAGTGGCAGCCACCTACCCTGCCCCAGGTGTGACAGCCTTGAGCTAGGAGGGTGAGCCCCTCAGTGCCTTCTTTTAGACCTGTCTCGCCTGCACGTGTCTCTCCAGCCAAGCTAACTCGAGCCTGGGGAGGAGGAAAAGGCAGGTGCCAGAGGCAGCTCAGGGGGTTCAGGGAGACCCCTTTATCCACTTCTCAGCAGCAGGGGAAGTTGAGAGGGGAACCTGCCCTGTCTCCCATCACGGTGGTTCGGTAGCTGCTTCTCAGACAGAGTGTCCTGGGTGTCTTGATTCTGAGTTGGAAAACTGCACCTAGATGATGGGAGTTGCAGCAGCTCACCTCCTATCCCTTTACTCTGTTCCTCCCGCAGCAGCGTGGGGGCCCTAACCAGCCTGCCCGGTGGCTGCTGCGAGACTGGTGCTGCTCAGCGCCTTGGTGGCCAGGGTGGGACATTTGGTGTGGCCAAGCTGTCATTGGAGATGCCTGGGTGGGAGGTCTGGACATCCGACCAGGGGGCTCAGGCATGGACTGGGGCTCCCCTGCTGCCTGCGGCGCTGCTCCACGCTGCTGTTCGTCTGCACTGCTTTTCCACACGTGGCTCCGCTGCTTTGTTGCCTGGGGCAGGGAAGGGCGGGGCCGAGGTGGGGATGTCTCCTTTCTTTCTGCCTGCCTCTAACTCTGTGTACTGACTCCGACGTTTGGCGCCGGCTTCTTTTTATTCTGCTTTCCGCTGCCTCAGTTCACCCTCCTGGGTTAGTGAGCCAGGAGCCTGGGAGCGGGTCCTGGAGGGCACCCACCAGGTTACAGCTCAGGGCTGCAAGGAGAGAGCCAGTCCCACGGGGCCATGTCTCCTCCTTGTGGTGACGTAGTGGCACTGCACCCATAGCCCACTGGCTTTGCTGGGAGTTGGGAGCTTGTGGAACAAGGGAACACCCTCGGCCCTGTCTTCCTACTCTCCATGCATAGTGTGACCTTCCTGATGTGACTTCGAACCCTTACGGCCTTAGGGATCCTGGCCCCACTGTGGGGAAACCCCTGGTCATTGTGGTCTTATACCCCGGACATCTCAGATGACTCAAGTCTGATTGGATGAATGAGCCCTGTGGGTTACCCGAGGCCCTACTTTGGCTGTCCCTGGGGGTGTGTGCAGCCAGGTCTCCTGGGCTCCTTCCCTCATCCCACCACTGTTGAACTGCTTCTCCCCACACCCCAGTGTCCTTACTCTCCCCAGGCAGAGCTTGTTCTTAGGGTTTTGACCAGGGTGGGATTCTGCTAGTGCAGCTGGTTATCAATTGGACCAGTGTCCTGAGCATGACTTGCACCTAAAGGCCCCTCTGGTAGAAAAGGTGCCAGCTGTGGTTGGTGACCCGGCATCAGGAGGATTGGCACAGTCAAAGCTGGGCAGGTCATCCACTCTGGGCCATGCCCTCTTCTTGCCCTTGAACCTGGGAATGCCAGGCCCACCAGTGCCTTCTCCCTGAGCACCCTGCATGCACCCTCTTCTCTCCAGTGTAACCCACCCCGCCCCTCGTCCCCTATCTTGTCTCTCTCTTTTGGCCAGGATGAAGCGGGCACAGTTTGGGCCCCATGACTGGCTGTCCTTGCCAGTGCCGCCAGGACCCAGCTGGTTGCTGGTGGATACCCTGGAGCCTGAGACAGCGTACCAGTTCAGCGTCCTGGCCCAGAACAAGCTGGGAACCAGCGCCTTCAGTGAGGTGGTCACTGTGAACACTTTAGGTGAGGGCCCGGGGTGGGATGTTGGGAGCTGGGGTTGTAGAGGTGGTGGCGGCAGTGGCCCAGGCAGCTAGCAGTTGGTTTCCTGTGTGCCAGGTACCTTGCTGAGTGTTCCATGGAGCCATGCTGTCTGATCTCCCCATGAGGATTTGTGTGGCCTCTGTGGGGTTTGCTGGCCCCGCATCAGAGTGCTGTTGGCCGAGTTCCTATTGCTTTTTCAGATGGAAGAAAGACACTTAGAATTTTCTCTTTCCTTGTCAGGCCACGTGTTTGCCACTTCTGTGGCTTTCAGGGGAGATTGGGCATCCTCCCTCCTTGACAGCGCCTGCTGGTTCTTGCCTTTGGCCCAGCCTCACTGGCTGGTAGGCATGTGGCTGCCTCCCGCTGTGGAGTCTTCCCAGTCACCTTCCTGGAGGCAGTCTCATACTCCTCCCTGCCTGGCCACAGTTGTGTTTGCTCTGCTCTGGAGCCAGAGAAAGGGCCGCTGTGAACAGGCTTTTCCTAGGTGGTGTGGGTGGCCCGACTCCAGCCCCTTTCCCAGAATTCGCTCCTGAGCTTCCGCCAAGGTAGACAGCAGTCTGGGATGCTCACCTCCAGTCCTTGGCACCTCTGTGGGGCCTCGTGTTGACCCCAAGCCCCGGCCAAGAAGGGAATGGAAGGAGCGACTGCTGTGCTGTGAGAAAGAAGATATCCCTAGCTCCCTGGAAGAGCACAGGAGATACTTTGATAACATTTAATTATTCCTCCTTCTCCATAGTTCCCATTTCTCTTCCCTTTCGAAGTACACGATTCCCTCATGTATGCTCTTTAGACGTACTCTGAAGACAGAACCCTGAAGCCCTGGGCCCCCAGGCCCTGACTCTGCTTCCCTCTGGGCCCTGACATGTGTGTACGGGAATGTGGGAGTGCGGCAGCCGCCCTGGGCCTTGCTGATACGCTGTGGTTCTTCTCCCTCCCCTGCTGCAGCATTCCCTATTACAACTCCAGAACCCCTGGTGCTGGTCACCCCACCGAGGTGCCTCATAGCCAATCGGACTCAGCAGGGTGTGCTCCTGTCCTGGCTTCCGCCTGCCAACCACAGCTTTCCCATCGACCGCTACATCATGGAGTTCCGCGTCGGGGAGCGCTGGGAGATGCTCGACGATGCCATCCCCGGCACTGATGGAGAGTTCTTTGCCAAGGATCTGTCACAGGTGAGGGCCTTGCTCTTCCTTGCTGCTGCTTCCCAAATCCTGGAAGTGACAAGACTCCAGAGGCACTGGAAGCTTTGAGTGACCAACTTTGAGTGTGTGAGGCCAGCCCCATACTGTACCTCCTCACCACTGGTCCTGGGTGATCCCAGACTCGCTACCAAGGCCTGGACTCCTCAGATCATGATCCACAGACTTGGGGCCAGCTCCGGGGCAGCAGGGACCTGTGTTCTATTGAGGGCCTCAGCACTGCCACAAACTGGGCAGGGCAGGCTGAGAGGCCGGCAGGCATAATCACAGCACTGACCCCAGCCCCTTGCTGAGCCTAACCTGGGATGGGCAGAGAAATTCCAAGAAGAATTCTCTTCTAGGTTTGTCCAGGGAAGGACCCCTCCTCCAATAATTTAGAGTCCCTGGAGGAAAGTGCATTATCCGTTTTTCCAGTAGCCCTGTTAAACTTGGATATCTAGCTGGGGAGAGGAAGCAGATGGTTTCGTAAGATACAATCTCATCTATCTTTCTGTCTTCCTTCCTGGACACTTATTTATTAATAGTGGTTGCTGGAGTGGGCTCCCAGTGGCCCTGGAGAGCCTGTTGCACATATCTCTTCCCAGCACTTTTGGTGACCTCACATTCGTAGCTTGAAGTCAGCCATTGTAAGAGTTGTTTACACCACAGCAATTGGCCAGTGCTACCATCACTTAGCATTAGACGCTTAGCAGTCCTCTCGTGCTTTGGGCACCCTGCCCTTTGCAAGGCTGTGTGCAGGATGAGTGTTTGTGGGGATAGTGGTCATCTCAGGTCCCTCGGCTGACTGGGTATTGTCCCTGGTGCTGTAGGACACGTGGTACGAGTTCCGGGTTCTGGCCGTCATGCAGGATCTGATCAGCGAGCCCAGCAACATCGCCGGCGTCTCCAGCACAGGTATTTTGGGTTGAGGGTGCTCTTGCAACTCTAGGGACGTAAGCCCCAGAGCTGCATGGGGGTCGTTTTGTGAAATAGCGACTCTACAAGGAGAGGCTGGATTGGAAACTAAGGAGGTGCCTGGTTGCAGCAGCTGTGTGAGTCGTAGCCTTTCTTAAGCCCACCAAACCCATATTTCCATGATGCGTGCCATTTCGTGAAGCTCAGAAGCTGAGTTTCTGACACTTGTATAAGACAGCCACAGAAATAAATTCAAGTAATCTTCTCATTATAGTAGTCAAAAAGGACTTGATTGAAGTGCTATTTGCTGTACATTTTCAGTTTCCTCTTGTGGGGGAGGGGCTGTGAATCGGAGGAAACAACAGGTCAACTATGTTTATCGAATGCTTGTGATAGACTTCTTTCTAATTATGTGGGTTTTATTTGGAAAATTGTTGTTTGGTGTTTTCCTCCCTTCCTTCCTCTCTCTAGATTTTTAAGGCTAAATAAAGCCAACCCCCTAGCATTTTCTCCATTTATCTTTCTTTCTCTTGGCCCTGGTCCCATTTCTACACATCTTCTCTCCAGCCATAGTTCCTAAGACATAGCAGGGTTCCTCTGCCAGTGAAGCGATGTCTTTGGTACGGAAAAAGGCTCTTGCTTATAAGCAAGTGATGGCATCATTTCCTCGGGCACTGCTCACCCAGAGACTCCTGGGACCAGGTGGCAGCGACCTCGTCTGAGGAGCTCATGCGGCAGGACTTGTAGAGTTGGGGAAGTGCTGGTGTGGACACACTGCAGGGAGCATGAGAGCAGGGGTGGGTGTGGAGTGCGATTTCTGCTTTATACATTAGGCACCAACGGGCTTTAAAAAAACAAAGTTGTGTCCTACAGGTAGCAGAACCCACAGTCCTTCTTGACTTCTCTCCGGGGAATAGACTCAGAGTTGGAGGAACAGGGATGAGAGCTTGCAGCCAAGGCTGGAGCTGAAGAAGGGGTGTTGTGTGGGCCCACCCCTGACAATTCTCTGCTCAGTAGCTCTCTGCCAGTTCCTGGCAGGAAATGTGCCTCATCAGACCCTTCCACATGGGAGAAGGAGGAGGCAGCAGCCTCAGCATTCCCTGTATTAGGTCCCCCATTTCCAAAGGCTGTAGCTTTCATTTTCCCCTCAGACAATCAGCATCATCTGGATTATTTTTATCCATTATTATTATCAATGCAGCAATGAATTCTGGCCAAATACATTACAATCTATCGATTTTGCCTTTGCTGAACCTAAGCAGTGGCACTTACATAACTTTCCATTGAGTATAAGAAGGTAGGCTGGGGTCTGGTCTTGGCTCGGTCATAACAAGCTCTGTGGACTTGGGCAGGAAACGAGGACGTTCAGTTCTTTACAGTGAAACAAGAGATTTGGCTCCATCTCTGCTGTCCCTGCCAGCTCTAGGGTACTTCCGTACCTGAGATGACCAGGGTGCGAATCTTCAGGACATTGCATGCCTGTGCTAGAAGGGGTTAAATACATTTCGACCTGAATTTTGTAGTAATAATCCCTCTTCCTGCGGTAGTATTTTATCCTCAAGTTGCCTTCACACCTGGGCTCTCCTTTTGTAGAGACAGCGTGGTGTGAGGCAGGAAATCCCAGACTGGGAGCAGGCAGCTGCATTCTGGTTTGGGCACTGATGGCAATATTCACATAAGCAGGTCTCTCCAACTCAGCGGATCAGAGCCCTTTCATTTAGAGAATGAGAACAGTATGTGTGCTCTGTGTACCTCATGGGGTTAACATGAGAAGAGCTGATAACGTGCATGAAGGTACTTTGCAGAAGGCAGAACCCTAGATAAGTATAGATTACTCTTGAAGTCATCATCCCCATGGGGGTAGGAATAGATGTTTTCTTGTTTATACCCTCTGGAGAGACTGACGTCTGTAGACTCTCCTATCTTCTTCCTCTTCGTGACACCATCCAGACCTCCTCAGTGCTAGAGTTCAGCTTGGAGCCTGAGCCTTGATACTGTCTGTTCTACAAAGGCAGGGTGAAACACTTGGGGACTGAAGCTCGGAGCAGGTGAGGTCCCGGGGAAGGATGGGCTCATGAGTGCTCCCCACCCTCCCTGCAGACATCTTCCCGCAGCCGGACCTGACCGAGGACGGGCTGGCGCGGCCTGTGCTGGCGGGAATCGTAGCTACCATCTGCTTCTTGGCAGCTGCCATCCTGTTCAGCACCCTGGCTGCCTGCTTTGTCAACAAGCAGCGCAAGCGTAAGCTCAAGCGCAAAAAAGGTGGGTGTCTGTCCCCTTCCCTTGCTCTCCCTGGTCCGGTTTCAAAAGCTCCCCATCAAGAGAGATGGACCAATTTTAGCATGGCCCCCCTTGGAAATAGGGACATTGAGATCTTGTGGGTAGAGCTGCCAGTGAGACTTGATTTGAAGGTGGGGGTAAGAAGCAGGGGTGTCGGGGAGAGGCTGCTGGGGCCCAAGCTAACATGAAGGCAGGGGCCAAAGGTGCCCCCTGTGAGCAGCTCCTTCCCCGCGCGGCGGCGCTCCGGGGCCCTGTCAGCTCCTTCCCCGCCGGCGCGCTCAGAGCCCTGCCAGCTCCTTCCGCAGGCGCGCCTCCCAGAGCCCTGTCAGCAGCTCCTTCCCGCGCGGCGCGCCTCGGGAGCCCTGTCAGCTCTTCCCCGCGCGGCGCGCTCCAGAGCCCTGTCAGCTCCTTCCGCGCGGCGGCGCCTCCGAGGCCCTGTCAACTCCTTCCCGCCGGCGCGCTCAGAGGCCCTGTCAGCTCCTTCCCAGCGCGCCGCGGCGCCCTGTCAGCTCCTTCCCGGACGCGCTCAAGGCCCTGTCAGCTCCTTCCCGCGCGGCGCCTCCAAGAGCCCTGTCAGCTCCTTCGCGGCGGCCTAGAGCCTGTCAGCTCCTTCAGGCGCTCGAGGCCCTGTCAGCTCCTTCCGGCGGCTCGAGGCCTGTCAGCTCCCTTCCCGGCGCTCCGAGGCCCTGTCAGCTCCTTCCGGCGCTCCAGGCCCTGTCAGCTCTCCTTCCCAGCACTCAAGAGCCCTGTCAAGCTCCTTCCGCGGCGCAACTCACTCCTCCTCAGCTTCTTCCCGACGGCGCTCCGGGGCCCTGTCAGCTCCTTCCCCGCGCGGCGGCGCTCCCGCCCTGTCAGCTTCTTCCCCGAGCGGCGGCGGCGCTCCGGGGCCCTGTCAGCTCCTTCCCCGCGCGGCGGCGCTCCGGGGCCCTGTCAGCTCCTTCCCTGTGCGGCGGTGCTCCCGCCCTGTCAGCTCCTGCAGATGAGCGTGCTGCGTGGTTGCTGGCTTGGCCTCAGCAGCCTCTCCCCTTCTCTTTCCTTCCAGACCCTCCACTCTCTATCACCCACTGCAGGAAGAGCCTGGAGTCTCCGTAAGTGTCTCTGATCCTGGGAGAACTGTGCTGTTCATGGCAGGGGGCACATAGGTAGACGGCTTGCCTCACCCAGCCCATATCAGTGTTTCTAAGCCATTTCTTCTGGATTGACCTGTGTGTTAATTGTACTTGCCCAGCCCCATCTCAGTGTTTCTAAGCCATTTCTTCTTAATTGCCCTGTGTGTTAATTGTAAGTTGTCCACACTGGTAGAGGGAGTGGCAGTGCAGATGATCCAAATTAGCCAGTAATCAGTTTCTCTTCAGCCTTGGAATGTATTTCTCTAGTGTTTTCCCACCCTAGCAGATTTGCCTCCTTAATATGTATTGCTTAAGTTGATATTAAAGTGAGCTTGCTTGCCTTGAAAAGGGGGGAATGAAGCTGGTGGTATGCTTAGAACACACCAGAGAGGGGGCAGGCCAGCACAAAAGTGGAGAGGTGGGTGTTCACTGGAAAGATGGATGATGCGGTGGGGGCCGGGTGCGGTGGCTCACACCTATAATCCTGGTGCTTTGGGAGGCTGAGGCGGGAGGATTGCTTGAGGCCGGGAGTTCAAGACCAGTCTGGGCAACATAGCAAGACCCCGTCTTTAAAAAAAAAAAAAAAAAAGGAGGATGCACATCCAGACAGTGGAGAGTTGACCAAAGCATTTCACACCACGATACACAGCCAGTTTTCTTTAGCATGAGGATCCTGGGTGCTGGGTGGTTGCCAAGAGAGGGAAAGGAAGTCCTGGCCAGCACACTCCCCCACCTCATCCCCTCCTGGCTCTCACTCCTCCCTGCAGCTTGTCCTCTGGCAAGGTGAGCCCTGAGAGCATCCGCACACTCCGGGCGCCCTCAGAATCCTCGGACGACCAGAGCCAGCCTGCGGCCAAGAGGATGCTGAGCCCCACCCGCGAGAAGGAGCTGTCGCTGTACAAGAAGACCAAGCGGGCCATCAGCAGCAAGAAGTACAGTGTGGCCAAAGCGGAGGCCGAGGCGGAGGCCACCACGCCCATCGAACTCATCAGCAGAGGCCCTGATGGCCGCTTCGTGATGGACCCTGCCGAGATGGAGCCCTCTCTGAAGAGCAGGCGCATCGAGGGCTTCCCCTTCGCCGAGGAGACGGACATGTACCCCGAGTTCCGCCAGTCGGACGAGGAGAATGAGGACCCACTGGTGCCCACATCTGTGGCCGCCCTGAAGTCCCAGCTCACCCCTCTGTCATCCAGCCAGGAGTCCTACCTGCCACCACCAGCATACAGCCCTCGGTTCCAGCCCCGCGGGCTGGAGGGCCCCGGTGGCCTGGAAGGTCGGCTTCAGGCCACAGGCCAGGCCCGGCCCCCTGCCCCCCGGCCCTTCCACCACGGCCAGTATTATGGGTACCTCAGCAGCAGCAGCCCTGGGGAGGTGGAGCCGCCCCCATTCTACGTGCCAGAAGTGGGCAGCCCCCTGAGCTCCGTCATGTCATCCCCGCCCCTGCACACCGAGGGGCCCTTTGGCCACCCTACCATCCCCGAGGAGAATGGAGAGAATGCATCCAACAGCACGCTGCCCTTGACTCAGACACCTACAGGAGGGCGCTCCCCTGAGCCCTGGGGCCGGCCAGAATTCCCCTTCGGGGGGCTGGAGACCCCAGCAATGATGTTCCCCCACCAGCTGCCACCCTGTGATGTGCCCGAGAGTCTGCAGCCCAAGGCCGGCCTCCCCCGAGGACTGCCCCCCACCTCCCTGCAGGTGCCCGCAGCCTACCCGGGCATCCTGTCTCTGGAGGCACCAAAGGGTTGGGCAGGCAAGTCGCCTGGCAGGGGCCCTGTCCCAGCGCCCCCCGCCGCCAAGTGGCAGGACAGACCTATGCAACCTTTGGTAAGCCAAGGGCAGCTGCGACATACAAGCCAAGGCATGGGCATACCCGTGCTGCCTTACCCCGAGCCGGCTGAGCCGGGGGCGCACGGCGGCCCCAGCACATTTGGCCTGGACACCCGGTGGTATGAGCCCCAGCCCCGGCCCCGGCCCAGCCCCCGGCAGGCCAGGCGCGCCGAGCCCAGTTTACATCAAGTGGTGCTACAGCCCTCCCGGCTCTCACCTCTGACCCAAAGCCCCCTCAGCTCCCGCACTGGCTCCCCTGAGCTCGCCGCCCGTGCCCGGCCTCGCCCGGGCCTCCTGCAGCAGACAGAGATGTCAGAGATCACCCTGCAGCCTCCTGCTGCAGTCAGCTTTTCTCGAAAGTCCACGCCATCCACGGGCTCCCCGACCCAGAGCAGCCGCAGCGGGAGTCCCAGCTACCGGCCCGCCATGGGCTTCACCACACTGGCCACAGGCTACCCTTCCCCTCCACCTGGCCCCGCCCCTGCTGGGCCTGGGGACAGCTTGGACGTGTTTGGACAGACGCCTTCCCCTCGAAGGATGGGGGAGGAACTGCTCCGACCAGAGCCCCCACCACCCACGTTACCTACTTCAGGGTGAGTGCGCCGCCTCTTCCACCACCCGCACCTGGTCAACTTCCTTCCCCACCCGCCTCGCCCTGCCCTCCACCTCGTCCATCCGCCCGGCGACAGGGCTTGTGTGGACATGCTGCACCAGCATCCCTCGGGAGAGGAGTTCTGGCCGCCGCGGCATTGGCAGGGTGCAGTCGCTGGGGTGGAGCGGGCCCACCTGCCCAGGTGCCCTGCCAGGAGCATGAGGCATCTTCTCCAGCAAGCCCTGAGCTCTCAGCGGGCGCACCACCTACCAGGGAGCGGCGGATCACAGCGAGTGCCCTTGCGGGGGTGGACCCCGTCCCTCTTGGAATTGATGGCTCTCCGTGTCCCTGTGGTCCTGGCATCGGGCGGTGGTCCTGGCATCGGGCGGTGGTCCTGGGGGTTGCCCACACACCTCGTGTCTAGCCTTTTCTTCCCCGGCCCCTCCTCCTTGTTAAGCAGGACCCCGGAGCCTGACTTCTCCAGACCACCAGGCCAGGGGCCTCCTGTTCCCAAACTCCTGGCCCTTAGCAGCCCTAGTGAGCGCCGGACTCCAGCCCCCTCCTCAGCCTCTCCTGGAGGCCCAGAGAAAAGTGTCAGGCCTTGTGACCATGTGCAGGACACGTCCCCCACCCCCACCTGTATACCTCGCAGGAAGCTGCAGAGAGACAGACAGACAAGCTCCGGCTATCAGCCTGCCTGAGAGAGCGCTCTCTAAACTGTAGCAGCTGGTATTCCAGGTACCAGAGCCTGGACACCTGTCTATGCCTCTTCTTCTCTCATCCTTCTCCCCTGCCGTCCCCCCTCCTCCTCCCCCTGCCCCTCCTTCCTTCTCCAGTCAGTCTTTCTCTCTGCCTATCTTCCTTCCTCACCATCGTCTTTGGGTTGACCCGACTTGCTCAGAAGAACTGGCCACGCCTCTGTAGTGCCCCTGGATACCCCGTCCCCCCGCCCTCTTCTCTCTCTCTTTCTCTCTCTGGCTCCGTCCTTTGGTCTCTCTTCTTGATGTAGCCGCCTGTGGAGGGAGCAGAGAGTTCCAGAGGAGGCTGGCCTGGTGGTAGGCAGGATGGGAGGTGGTCGAGGAGGAGGGAGCCCAGCGCCCTCCCCCTGCCCCGTCCCCCACCCTCCCTGGTACCTGGAAGTACAAGGTCACCTCCCAGCCCCAGCCCCACCGCGGGCTGCTCCGGGGCGGTGAAGGGGGTGCGGAGCTTAGGGCGCAGGGAGGTGGAGGAGCCGCAGCCGCCGCCTCTGTCTGCGCGGGAGGTGCCGCGGCAGCCCTGTCTCTGTGCTTTGTGCGCGCTCAGCTCATCTGCTTCCTTCCATCGTGTCTGGGTCTCTGTCTCTCTCCTCGTCCCTCCCCCGCGCTCCGGCCTCGCCTGTCCGGTGCTCGCTGTGCCCCCCCCCTGCTTCCCTCTGGGTGTGCGTGGGCGGTGCCCCCCGGCCGGTGTTGATAACTGCTTTGTTTCTGATTGATCTCAGCTATCTGGGCAGTGTTGTCGAGACAAGCCTCTCCTCAGCTCAATAGGTAAGGGAGCTCCTCGGCTGGGCGGGCGGGGGCGGGCAGGCGGACGGGGCTTCGGCCGGGCCATTGCTTCCTGGACAGGGGATCCAAACCATGTCCCCTCACCGCCCCGTGGGGTGGCCGCTGCCGCTCCTCGATCCCCACGGCTTCTGGGTTCCCCACATCGAGCCACGCTCGGCACCGCCTAGCTGCAGCTTCTGCCCCCCATCCCCATGTCCAGCCCCTCTAGAGCCCCCTGCGGCTCTCCTCACTCCGACGCCTTGCCAGCCTGCTGCCAGTACACCCAGGGCCTCCCACAGAAGCCCTGGGGCCCTGCATGCACCCCGAAGGGGCCCAGAACGCCCGAGATCTGCTTTGCATCTCTGCACCCTTGGGGACCTCTGTGGGGCCCCTCTGGTATCCAGGAAGAACCTCCCGTACCCTATTCTCCCAGCAGCCCCAGGCAGAGCATCCCTTCTCCTGGGGTGGTTGGCCCCTCACCAGCTTCTTGGGATCTTCGTGGTATTAGGCTCTCTCGAGGAGCACAAGGTTGGGATGAGCCCCACTTCTTCCCTGACAGTGGGGTCCTCCGCAGGGTCAGGTCCCTGCAGTCATGCTGTAGGGAAAGGGTCTTGGGAGGACCTCCCCAAGGGGAGGGGGCAGGCTTCCCCTGGGCAGACAGGCATTGAGCTGGCAAGAAGTGAAACCCCCCCAGGGACCAGCACTGTGTCCCTCCCTCTGCCCCCGCAGTCGACCTCTCCTTGAGTGTCCTTCCAGGTGGAAGCCAAAGGAACTTGGGCATTCAGGGAGCCTTTGAGTCCCTCACAGAGACTCAGGGCCACCCGAAGCTCGCTCCCTCTCACAGTAGCCTAACAAGGTGCTGCCTGTCGCCACGGACCCTCTGCCCTGTGCCTGGGCACACACAAGCATTGGGCACCTGCATGGGAGACAGCGAGCCTCCCGTCCAGGTGCTTCTGGCTTCCCAGGCGAGGAGATAGGTGCTTTCCCCACCTAGAGATGTCAAGGGAGGCTCATTTTCCTAACCAGGGCTATAATTCTCATTCAGTCCGAAGAGTGGCCTCCATAAAGAGGACTGCCCTGACATTTCTTTACCATCTGTAGCTATAAAATTGTCAGCAGCCCAGAGGCCCTGGAATTGTGGGTGAGGCTGTCTGGCATAGGGTGAGTGTGAGGAGGGCTGTCAGGCAGCGTTTACGAGCTCACCTGCTCCGGGGCCCTCTTGTGGCCATAGACCCATTGGTCTTCCACCTTCCCCATCTCCTTCCCTCTCCCAGCTGTGACTCCTCCACGGCTCCCGGAGGTGTGGGAGCCCTAGACTAGCTCTCAACCCCAGCTCCTGGAAATTCCTAGACTCCGCTCCCATGTGTTACTTCCTCGCCCCTTCACTCAACTCCATTGACCCTCCCCTTTCCCAGTGTCCCCACTGTGCCAGATCCAAGAGAAGCCCACTCTCTTTTCACTGCTGTGGCAAACCCAGAAACCAGGGGCAGCGATGAGGGACCATCGTTTCTCTCCCGGGCCTGGCCAGCATCCCCAGCCTAGGAGAAGGAGACCCTCCCCATCCTGAGTCAGCCTCTCAGTGCTGGGCTCTCCTGCCTGCTGGGAGCCTTCCCGGTACGGCTGCTGGGCCCTGGGGAGATGCAGGCTCTGTTCAGATGCTGTCTCCATGCTGCACCTTTGCATGTGTGCCCTCTCGGTCTTGCTTGGAGAAGTTGTGACAGCTCTTGTCCACGTGCGTTCTCGCTGTTTCTTTTCCCTTCAGTTCCTCTCCTGTTCCTTTGGCCCATATGTAGTTGTTGGCCCTGCCTCTCCTGTTTTCTCTCTCCCTTTTTTTCTCCTCTTTCCAACTCCCTTCTCAACTTGGGGAGTTGTATTGTGTGGACCTGTCCTTTCTGTGGACTGTGGGGAGGCTGAGCCAATTCTTAGCTCCCGTCTGAGCCTAGTGATGCCCTGTCCTCACCTCTCCTTCCACTCGCTTTCCCGTTCAGGCTGTCACTGCAGGGAGGCAGGTGGGTCTGGAGCATGGAGTGGCCCCTGTCCTGGGTCAGCTGTAGGAAGGAGCCCTTTTGGAAACAAGCCTCTGCCAGGTTCTGAGGCAGAGCACTGGTCTGAGCCCGGCCCCACAGAAGGGTTCCATCTTGCGGTCAGTGGGGTGGGTTCAGACCTCCAGACTCCTGCAGTGGGCCCACCCTTTCCCTTGCTATGGCCCGTCTGTGAGTGGCTTTCCTCTGCCTCCATCAGGGTATAATCAGGCAGGTGGTGTTTGCTCTCAGATGATTAGAAGAGGAAGAAAATGCCCATCAAGCCACTGATTCAGCCTGTTGGCCAGGGAACACCTGAACAGCGTCATAATGGTCAGCTGATGGGCGCTGAGCTAAGGAAATATGCAGGGGGTTTGACTTTCCCTGTCCTGAGGCTTGCCTCCACTTTGACGTGGCTGCATCTTTCCTCAGCTCTTCTGGGTAAGCTGAGAGCTAAGCAAATAAGACCTCCTGGGCTACCTGGTCGTGATTTGGGTTGCGTATGGATTTTTTGAAAAGAGAGAAAAAGTATTGGCTGGGTGTGGTGGCTCATGCCTATAATTCTAGCACTTTGGGAAGCCAAGGAGGGTAGATCTCTTGAGTCCAGGAGATCGAGGCCAGCCTGGGCAACATAGTGAAGCCCTATCTCTACAAAAAAATATAAAAAATAGATGGGCATAGTAGCACATGCCTATAGTCTCAGCTCCTTCGGGGGCTGAGGTGGAAAGATCATCTGAGATGGGGAGGTGGAGGCAGCAGTGAGATGAGATTGTGCCACTCCACTCCAGCCTGGGCAACAGAGACCCTGTCTCAAAAAAAAAAAAAAAAAAAAAAAAAAAAGAGAGAGAGAGAAGTAAGTTCCAGGCAATTGTTGGTAGTTCTGTACTGTAAAAATCACCTCTGTGCCAAGGCTTTGAGGCCCTCATCTTACAGTAATCCCCTGACTTCCTGGAAGAAGGGGAGCCCCAGGGTTCATAGTATTCCTGCATGCTTTAGAACAGTATAGACTGTTTGGGAAGAGAGCTGTGACCTTAAATTCTTGGAAAGCCCAGGACTGGCTTCTGGGGTAATGGGATCATCTATGGATCAAACTTAGATTTACCTGACAGCTGAATTCCAGGGATAGGATGGAGTTGCTTCACTGAAGCTTCCCATCTGAGACATTGGCACCAGGAGCTCCATGACCAAAGGGTCCCAGGTGGGGCTGGCATTGGCAGCAAACATGGTCACCTTTCCTAAAACAGGGAGGCAATTCGATTGCACAGGGCTTTACATGCAGTTCGTAAAGTCTGTTAGGTCACGTTCTATGCGTCTTTTCTGTACCATGTGCCAAAAATAGACTCGTTTTGCCTGCCCCGCTTCCTCCCTCCTGTTCTGCCAGACACTAGCTTTTGTTTTTTCCTCCTGCATTGGGTGAGGGTCTTGGTGTGTCCAGAGCCTTCTTTGTCCTGTGGCCATGCTTCCGTGCTGAGCCCAGAGCTAAACAGGTGGACAGCAGGTATCCCGGAAGGGCTGGAGCTTGGCTGTTTCTCAAGGGAAAATCGGCTGCTTCTGGTTACTGGATCATTACTGTTTGGGAATTTTTGTCTGAAGATACAACTTAAGCAGGCTCCTCTACAGCCCTGGTCTGTCTTACCGGGGCTTTTCCACCAAAGCACAGAATGTCAGTGCTAGCCTCGAGTACGTTGCAAAGCATATCTATTTCTCAGGTGTGGTGGGGATGCCATGCTTTTCTTCTTTGTAGCTGCTATACCTGTGTTGATTGGGAAGACGTTGGAAGGGCAGTTGAGAGGTGAGCCTAACGTTAAGAGTCTTGGCTCTGTCCCACGATGACTGGATTATTTGACAGGTTGCTTACCTCTCTAAACTTCAGTGTCTCCATCTGAAAAATGGGGGCATTGTAGTATTTACCTCTTAGGTTTGCTGTACAGATTATAGGCAATTACTGTACAGCAGTGCCTGCTGTGGTAAGTGGTAAATCAATGCTAGATAAAAATGACAACAGTGATAAGATGTGGATTCTAACCATCGTATCACCCCTGGAAGTTTCACCTGGCTTGAAGCATCCCTAACAGTTTTCAGGGCACCCTGTACCCGTTTCTCTCGTGCTCCTGCAGTCTCCCTGGATGACGTTGGAGACTACTGTTCTTGCTGGTCATGTGCCTCCCTGACCACACGTTGCTCTCCCTGTGTGGTCCTCCTGAAGAGGCCGGCCAGGAGACAGAGATCGACTGAATAGGTGGATTCACATTGACTTTCCTTGTAGGCAGCATGAAGAAGCCTCAGTCGAGGATGAGAAGGGGTGAGGATGTGCCTTCCACACTGGCAAGGTGTGCTCCCTCCCGCCCAGGCACCTGCACCCTTTGTCTGCCTTCCCGCTTCCTTCCCAGCTGCTGCTGTGCTGTAGGATCTCTCTGGGTAGACTGGCATGTTGGGTCACTTCTTCACGAGAGGGCTGTGTGTGCCTGTGTGTGCACGTAAGGGACCCTGTGTGTCCTTCTCAGCTCTGCTGTCAGGGGCTATGGAAAGTCAAGAGGTTGATCCTGACCTGAATTTTTGAGGGAGCCTTTTGAAACTTTATGGACTAAAGTACTAGAGAACGATGACATCCCCCAGGAAGATGGAGGTCACTGCATTGCCAGTGCATGCAGGAAACCCCAGAGACCAGAGGCTTATCTGCATTTAGTGTGTAAGTCTTCTCTTCCTGCCTTGCTGCCAAGATATTTGATGTTTTGGAGAAGAGGCTGCAGGTTTCCTATCCCTGTTAACATTTTTTTAAACCTCAGACCTCTTGACCTTTGGGGTCTTCTTTTGCCCTCACAGCATTGTCTGTCCTACCTCTTTTAATCAGGACTTTCTAAAAACTGTTTGCAATGGAGATAGGGGAGGGAGTTGGGGGGTCCAGGAGAAGAGCGAGGCACGCCCATCCACCATAGCCCCAGAGCGTCCCTGCTTCTCTGATCGCGTGCTAATGCCAGTGCTGGTGGGAAGACAGTGACCTGTCTCTTTCTGTTTTCCCTTCATTCCTCAGGCTCCGAGTTGGGTTACTTTGAGAAGAAATGGCATTGAGAACATGTCTTTTAGGTTTTCCTCTTTTATGACTCTTGAAAGATTCTCTCCAGTATGCACCGAGTGTCACAGACTGCCTGTCCTCTCAGCTCTCCTGGCTCCCTTGTGTACCTGGGCTGCTGCACGGGTGTGGCCAGACTGTGGACCCTGTCCTAACTGTGCAGTTGATCCACCAGGCAAGTGGCAATCAGGATGCAGGAAGAGAGGCCAGTACACTTCTGTTCCAACAACCTCGTTTCTCTGTCGAATCCTAAAATACAGAGGTTCACCACGTTCTTGTTACAGACAGCAAGGGCTCTGGGAGGCTACCAGATTTGGTTGTTCTGCCATCATCTCCTGCCACCTTCTCCTGTTTTCTTACATGGCCGAGGAGAGCTGAGCCTCGTCTGCAGAGTTGAGGAGACACTGCCCTGAAAATGTTGGTATATGACAAGAATTCGTTGCTGTAAGCTGCTGCTGTTCTGTGGGAATCTTGCAGCTGCAGAAGAAGAAGCTGGGGTCTGGGTTTCTCACTTAGCACCCCCTTTTCTGGAGATGGAGGATGGTTCACTGGGATGGGAGTTGCTTGCCCCTGCTCTAATATGCCCTTTTACTTTCCATGCAAAGGTCTTGATTTCTAGGAACTCCAGACGTTGAGACTACTTCTGTCTCTGACACTGAATACATCCCAGCTTGAGTTACATGGGAAGGGGCTTACTATTAAAGTCTTGCTCTCTCCCTTTGCTAGGGTCTGCTGATTGCTCTGCAGGTTGGCTTCCATCCGAGGTGGGCCATGCTCCTGGAGCTTTCTACTGGGTTTTCTTCTTTCCAGGAGCAATAGAAAGGCGGGTGTCATGGAGCCATCGTGGGCACCCTGGGCTCTGTGGGACTGAACTCTGTCCTTCTATGGGTCAGCTACTTGGCTTTCTTCCAGTCCCTCTTCCAAAGCCTCACACATCCGGGAGCTGACCTGTGGCTCTCTGGTTGTCCTTTCCAGAACACTTCCACCTGCTCCCGAGAACGCTGCTGCACCTGAGAGGCTGGAGGCTCTGAAATACCAACGGATAAAGAAGCCCAAAAAGTCATCCAAGGGCTCTTCGAAGTCAAAGAAACGATCCGGTAAATGATGGGCAGAGGGCTGCCCCACTTCTCCCACCTTGCCTTGCCATTGTCAGGAGGGTGACTGGGCTCAGGGTCCCAACCCTGGGCTTTCTCTAGAATTGAATCCACAAGCTTCTCTTGTCCTTTCTTTTTTAACACTATTTTTCAAGCAATACACAAACATGATTTTAATATACAAAATGAGAAAGATAAGCAGAATCTATCTGATTGCTCTCCCAATTTGTTTCCACTCACCTGGAGAACTGTCATTTTCAGCGTATGTGCCTTCAGAACCTTTTCTGTGCCTATAGCTTCAGAAAATATATCCTATTGTTTTAGTGTATTTTCAAACAACACAAATAGTACAGATATATTTTTCCACTCTGCCGTTCACCTTGCACGTAACTCTATCTCCTTACTTACTTCCCCTCTATCATTTCAGGCCTTCTAGGAAACATAGGCGTGACGGGGCCCCATGTGGAGCTCAGGGTACATTGCAGCCTGGGCCCAGCCTCTGCAGGTTGGCTGCACTCTTCTCAGTGAGATCGAGTGAAGGAAGCCTCCTTACCCCACAGAGAGGGCGCCTCTATCGAAGTATGTCCGATGTGTATCTTGCAGGGATAGGTAGCTTCTGAGTGCAGAACGAATTTAGCCCTCTTTAAGACTAGAAAATTATTTAATGTTTGTTAAAAACCCTCTTTTCGGGCCGGGCGCGGTGGCTCAAGCCTGTAATCCCAGCACTTTGGGAGGCCGAGACGGGCGGATCACGAGGTCAGGAGATCGAGACCATCCTGGCTAACCCGGTGAAACCCCGTCTCTACTAAAAAAATACAAAAAAAAACTAGCCGGGCGAGGTGGCGGGCGCCTGTAGTCCCAGCTACTCGGGAGGCTGAGGCAGGAGAATGGCGTGAACCCGGGAGGCGGAGCTTGCAGTGAGCAGAGATCCGGCCACTGCACTCCAGCCTGGGCGACAGAGCGAGACTCCGTCTCAAAAAAAAAAAAAAAAACAAAAAAACAAAAAAACCCTCTTTTCATGAATGGTTTTAGGAGTGTTGTGGCAGGCTGTCAAGGAAGAATGCTGAACAGTTTCTTTACAGATCTTTGATAACTGTTGTACAGTAACTCTCCTTCTAGATAGGATTATGGGAGAGTGTTATACAGAAATTCAGAGCCCCATGAATCTCTGGGAGATGGTGATCACTTATGATCACTTAGCCTTTGGCAGGTACTAGTATCCTCTCGGTTTACAGATGGAAATACCGTGGCAGAGAAAAATAAAATGATGTTTTTAGGGCTTGGGTTAGAAATTGGAGCTCAAAGCTGCATTTTAACCAATTTAAGCCCATTCTTAACCCATTTAAGACCCATCAATATATATTTTATATGTATGTATAACTTATGTATTTCTTTGTTGCAAAAAAAAAGTCACATCAGAGACCTGCATTCTCTCTTGTTCTGATGGCAGTGGTCCTGTTACCAGTTCTACGTTGGCATCTTCCAAATGTCTGTCTTTAGCCCAGGTCCCTTCCCTGAGGTCATGGCTCATCTTTCCAGTTGCCAGCTGAATGTGCTGTTGGGTGTTTCATACGCCTTTACAATGTCTAAAGCAGAGTTATTGATCAACCTCTCCAGGTCTGCTTCTCCTCAGCTCTTCCTCAGTTTAATCACTAGCACTGGTGCCCCCTGGGGTGTCAGGCCCTTTAATTCCCAGATTCTTCCCTTGCCTTCGCATCTCACGTCAAGCCCACTAGGTAATACCTGTTAGCTCAGCCTTTGCAACATATCCTGAATCTGGCCACTTTCCGTTGTCTCTATTGCTAACTCTATGTTCTGAGTCACTGTCTGTCCCACCTTGACTATTGCAGTACCTCGTGACTGGTGCTCCAGCCCCATCCTTGTACCTTGCACCATGGATTCCACACACAGCCACCACAGCAAGCTGTAGGACACGTAGCAGCATCCTCTCAGTTACGAACACACACGTGCAGGCATGCGTGCGCACACACACACACTTCTTAAAACCTTCCAGAAGATTCCTGTCGTAACCAGAACAGATTTCAAGCTCCTAGATGCCCTGCCTGTCTTTCTTGCCTCACTCTTTTCCAACTGAGATGACTTCCCTTCTGTACTGGGGACACACCACATTTACCCTTAACTTGGGGCTTGCACAAATGCCATTTCTTCTGTTGGGGATAGTAATTTTTCTTCAGATCTGTAGAAGGCTCATAATTTAAGATGCAATTCAAGTGTTAACCCTTTAAGGAGCGGAGTAGTGCCTCAGTTGACTCTATTTTATCTTTGTAGTATTTTCAGTAACTGCAAATTTTATTTCTGTACTTTTAAAGTCTTGACAGTTTGTCTCTTCCTCTGCACCCTAACATGGATGCATAGTCTTTGAAGATAGCAAAGGCATTCCTGCTTAATCTCCAGAAGGGCCAGAAGACAGAGGAGAGGGCTGGGCACTCCAGGAAGGGTCAAGGCCTGACTGTTGCATGGAATTAAAATATTGTATAAAGTCAGTCATTGCTTGGGGCAGACGAGAAAGATGCCCTGAGTCCCAGCCTGTTCCTTCCTGATCCCCAGTCCCTAGAATGATGCCTAGTACTCAAGAGGCACTAAAATAAATATTTGTAGACTGATGGAGAAAGAAATGAATGAGAAAGAAAATCCTCTCCATTCCACTTTCTTAACTCCTATTCCAGTGAAGGAGCAGGTCAGGTTGCTGGTTGCCTTAGCGGAAAAGAAAGTGGTTTCTCTGCAGCAATTCGTTCTGGTCTCTCTAGACTCAGGTGATTCCTTTGTTTCAACATTAGAATCCCGGAACATACGCAGGTGGAAAAGGTGAGCGGGCTGCGTTCTTCCTTTTCATCCGCTTGCTTTTCTTCTCTTTTGCGTCCCTCTTCCTTTCTCCCTAGACGGTTCTGCCTCCCAGGCTCAGCAGCTTCCCAACTCTCAGGTTCTGTGGCCCGATGAAGCTGTCTGCCTCCGAAAGAAGAAGAGACATTCTCGTCCTGACCCCTTTGCCCGGCTCTCAGACTTGTGCCACCGCCAGCTTCCGGAAGACCAGACAGCGATTCTCAACAGTGTGGACCACGATGACCCAGGCCATGCCACTTTGCTGTGACTCCACCCCACCCTAGGTGTCCCCAGGGCGAGGTTGCTGGGCTCAGGCAGGGAGGGCCACCGTGTGGGGGTGTGTCCTCCTGCGCCTGCCAAGGACGGCCCGGATCTTTGTCCTGCATGCCCCGTCTTTTGCCAGAGTGGGCGTCTCCCTCCAGATTCTGGCCACCTGTCTTCCGGACGGAGGGCGGGCAGACCTTCCACCTGTGGGTCGAGGTCAGGAAGTGGATTGGAGACTGGGCAACACCTGTCTCCTCCCCTCCGCCCCCTGCTTTACTCGGTTGATTTTTCTCATCTCTTCCAATGTCTTTGGAAGTGAAGAGGAAAGCACGGCTTTTACTGCTCTCTGCTTCTGTTTCAGTTTTTCAAGTCCTGGAAGAAGGCTGGACTTAATGTCCGTCTTCCACACCCCCACATATGTATAGATATAGATACAGATGCATATGTCTGTAGTGTGTGGGTTTCTCTATGTGTGTGTGTATATATATATACATATATATGTACATCGATGCAAAGTGCTGTTGCTCTCTGTGGTTAGTGGAGGCAGGAGGAGGAGGGCAGTGGTCAGCTGGGGTTTGCGATCAGCACTGGCTGCACATTGGCCAGGTGCTTCACATCTGTCTTGGGGGCTTCTTTCTCCTGAAACAGGATCCACGCCTCTCAGCGGAATTCTCCATTTGTCTCCTACCTTCTCCCACCCAGAGTAGAAATGGGGCCTTGCTGTGATTACTGGCTGCCTTCTATGGGGGTTCAGCAATGAGTTACTGCAGAACTAAATTCAAGCCTTTATTTCTTGGTTCCTGGGTGAAGAAGGGGTGGCCAGGCACCCAGACCTGCATCTTTCTTCCTTCCAGCGCAGCTCACGCTGCAGAAGTAGAGGCTACTCAGCCATGGGGCTAAAGCAAGCCCCTGGTGCACAAATCCAGCTCATCCATCGGCACCCTTCCGCCCAGCCAGGCTGTGAGCTCTGTGGCCAAAGGCTCCCCCACCGCAGAGCCACCTGTGCTAGCGCCAAGCTGCCGGCTCTATTTATACCGTCTCCGGCTCAGCACTCTGCAGTGCGGTTCCACAGCGGCTGATTGGATCCTCCTTTCCTTTTGTGGGAGCTAATTCTCCAGATTGATTAATTACCACTTGTGCGGAGCCGCCTGTGGCTTTCCCATACTCACCATGTGCTGCCTGCCGACTGTTCTCTGCCTTGGGGCCTTGCTCCTCACGTGGACCTGAGCTCCAGGAGGATGGGCTCAGGTGAAGCTAGGGCGCCTCCGGCTGCTGGGGCCTCTGGATCCCGCCCGCTTTGCCCAGTATCTATTCTGTGGCTGAGGCATAGGAATGAAGGCGGGAGGGGTGGTGAGTAGGGTCTGGGCACTGACTCTTCCTCTGCCAAAGTCTTGTCCTGGTTCAAACTCTTAGCATCCAGAAGCTTCATGAGTCATCTTCCCACTAAGATGTGTCTCTGCCTGTAAGACATGGTGCTGCCCAAGGACAGGGCAGAAGGCCCCGAGGGCGGGCTGGAGGGCAGATCTGCCCCTCCCCCACTCTGTGTAGGAGCCCCGCTTCTGGCTTGGCTTAGAATGAAGGTTCCTTGAAGTATTTCCTTCTTGGTGCTGCTGTCTTGGTGGGTTTGGGGGCGCCCACCTCTCCCGAGTTCCCTGCTTGGATGTGAGCCATGGCAGCACTGGACGGCTTCTGCTGGTCTCATGCAGCTGCCATGGGCTTGGCCCAGTGACCTCGCAGGATGAGGCCTTGGATGGCTGCTGTCTCTTCTTGGCATTTCCATCTTAGGGGATGGACTTCTTCTCTGCCACACAGGCCCTGGTCCTTCCTTTCACCCAGGGAGCTGAGGACCAGCTCCACCCTTGAGGTTTACTGTGCTAGTCACACCACTGCAGTTCCTTTCTGAACACATCTGAAGGGGTCGTGGTGGGAGAGGCACAAAGGGGCTTCTGAGACTGGGCCGGGCACCCTTGGGGTGGAACCTGGGCCTTTCAGTTGATGTGCTTCTCTGGGGCATTGGAATCCACTTGACCACTGAGCAACAGCTCTGCAAGGTGGAAGAGCACACAACTTTTCGGGTTCTTTTTTCCAGGTAGCACACCCTCTGCCCCCGTGCTGTGACATGCTGCTCACTCGGGCGTCTCTCCTGGGGGATGATGGGAGCCAGCTTACCTGAGGTGTTGGGGTGGGAGGTGGCGGCTCACCACAAGCTGACGTGCAGCCTTTGTGCACTGGCAGTGTGGGGTTTCTCTCCCAGAGGAGCTCAGGGGGCTCAGCCAGGCCCTGGGATGCACTGGGATGTGGGCATCAGGCTGTCAGCCTTCAGGATGAATTTGGCCAACTTTTCTGAGCAGCATCCTGAGAATTCCAGCCCTCAGTTTAGAAAAGAAGAGGAGATGATGAGGTAGAAGGCTTTGCTTCTTTTGGATGTCATGAGAGGCTGAGATGCTCAGGTTGTGGCTGTGCCTTCCAGGGCACCCCTGTGCTAACCAAGGTGCTGACTCCTTCTCTGCTTTCCTCTGGCAGTGCCCATGACCTCAGCACATAGACCCAACACGGGGAGCCGTGCTTTTTGCTGGTCACTGAGTGGCCGCTGTGCTGTGGCTTCCCTGGCTAGGGCAAGGACGTCAGGTCTACCCATCTCTCAGTGGCCTGCCACTCATTCAGTTCCCATGAGGGCTTCCTCCTGTGACAGTGTCCTCGGAGGCCAGCAGCCCTCCTGCACCCCGTGGATGGCAATGGAAATTGGTGGAACACCCTCTCTCCGTGGGATAGAGGGTGAAGATGTCACAGGCACAAGCTTAGGTGCTGGGTATGGGCGTGTGTGACAGCGTGGTTGTGAACATGTGCGTGATGGAGCTATAGCCACCTCTAGGGACCAATGTCCTTCATAGTCTGCCTTTGAACAATGGCAGTGACTACTGACCAGCTTCTTAGGACTTCTGCGCTCACTCTGTGGGAGATCATGCTTTCCAAACTTCCCCTTTTACCATCTGGCAGCCTTGCAGTAGACACGGCTCAGATGCAAACCTGCTCCTGTGTCTCAGATGTCTGTCTGCCTCTTCAGGATTGTGGCTGAGAACGGTGGCTATTGCAGTGTCAGGTGACCCACAGACCAGGTAGAGGGTGAAATGGTTCTTAGCGGGGCCTGGACGACTGCATTTGCGTGGGGAGAGAAGATGTGCGACGAGGCAGAGAGGCGAAGCCTGTCTCGATTTGCTGGTGGGCTGCCGTGGGCTCCCTAGTGCTAAGCGGGGTCCTGTGCTGGATTATTGGGGTAGCTCTGGGCCCAGCATCCCAGAGTGGCCCTGCCTGCAGCCAGCCTGCCTCTAAGCAGCTTCCCCCGAGAGACTGGGGGTAGGATAGGCCTTTTGAGATTCTACTTTCTTAGCAGGAGGGACGCCTTTTTCCCAGTGGGCTGACAGGGTCTGTGCCCTCCTTTGAGGTGGCCTAGTCCCACAGCCATGCGCTTGGGGGAAGACTGAAGCCGGGTGGATTGAGCCGAGTATTTCTTGATATTTTTCCTTGCTCTCTGTGTTTATTTTTGATTTGTGATCTAAAATATTTGGGGTTGAACTGATTTAATTTATTCCTCTGCCCTTTTTGTGCTGAGGAAACTGGGGTGAGGTTCAAATGTGAAATTTTCTGATTTTATTTGGGGTGGGGGACAAGGTTGACAAAATAGTAGCTTCTGGGGAGAAACAGATTTCATGGCGCCTCCGGCATCTTTGGCACTGCCCACGATCCAAATCTCCAGGGCTGAAGACTGCGTGGCTGGAATCTGTTTTCTCCCATTTTGTTAGCAAAAGCCTTTTCCAGGCTTGGGGGTGGGGTGGGGGAAGAATTGTACATAAAGTACATTTTATTAATATGTAGAGAAACCTAGGAAAAGAAAAGCTAATGGTTAATCTTGGGCTTGCTTTGCTTGCATGTAAAGGAGCTTTGAGGGCACTGCAGGGATGGCTGGGGAGCTGCAGGAAGGGGCAGAGGGTGGAGCCGAGCGGGTCGTGGAAGGCCCCGTGAGTCCAGCCTCTGCAGCACTCTAGGAGCTGTGCACATTCCCACCGGGGCTTCTAACCCAGCCCTGCCTGGGTATCTTCTTCAGATAAAGTGGATCTAGTAGGCAGTGTGTAGAGCCCATGTGGCTGTGTGTGTGGCTTTAGGGAGAGGGCCAAAGAGGTATCTTATTGGCCAGATCTAGGTTGACCAGGGTAATGAATGGGGCAGTGGTGTTTCAGGACGGGTAGTTGAAGAACTGGAGGGTGGAGGGGAGACCTAGGTGTTTGCCAGGTGTTGGTGAGGCTGGAAGGGGCACAGAGGGTGAGGTCAGGCATGGGTTAGGATGGTGAGACCACCCCAGGGGACATCAAGCCTCAGCATCTCTTTGAGTCATGTGATAACTTAGTCACTTGTAAGGGTGCAGGGTACACACTCGAGGATCATCTCAAGATGACGAAGAATGATTGCCTGGTGGGGGTCTGGCTGGGGAGTGGTGGCCGTGCAGGGCCTGTGGGAGGGGGATCTAGGCATCGGGGACAGATTGTGGGGTGGGGTCCTGCATGTGGACCCAGACTAGATCTTGGGAGAGGTCTTCCTTCTTAGCTAGACCTTCCTTGCTTCTTCTAGAATTAGCCTCTAACACTAAGTGCCCAAACCAAACATGGACATCTTTATATTGTATTTCAACTTCATTTGTTTTTGGGGGCTCCTCAGGCCCAAAGCTGAGAGACTTGTCTTGAGATGCCCATCCTATCACCAGCTCTTCATCAGTGGAGAAGGAAGCGCTATTCTCGCAAACATCACGTTTGTTTTCCTAAGTGCAGTGGTGGGCTGCCTCTCCGTCCACACAGTCTGAAAATGTTCATGGGCCTTGGTGATGGTGATGGTGATAGAGAGGAGCTGGAGCCTGATGTGCCTTCATCCCCCTTTCCTCTTGAGGTATAGAGGCTTCCTTCAGGCCATTACATTGCACGGTGGCTTCGTGAGGCCTTCTCTTTACTTTCTCTTTTTTTGATAGGCTAAAGTCACTAGTCTGTGGTGGTGGGAGGGCAAAAGAGTTTCACCTGAAACTCTTGGCTTGACCAGCCATTCTTCTCTCTTTAATGTCTCCAGCTCTGCTTCTTTTTAGATTAAGAGGCAGAATTAAAAATCTCTTCTTTTGAAGAAGTCAGTAAACCAAGGATCAAAGCCCAGATTGGACTTTTCGCACTCTTACCAGCTAGCTGTTTGGCTAGGGGGACCCATCACCACCCTTCCCTCAGACTGCGAGTGAATCCACACTGGTCCAGAGCCTTATTTCTGAGTTCCTGTCTGTACTCTCAAAACCTTCTTTTAGGAGCAAGTATAATAACCCCACCAGATGTTCTGTGTGTTGGGTTGCTGAGAAGGTGGAAGTTTTTTTCAACCTCATTTTAAGCTGTTAGAAAAACACTCAGTAGATTGAATTTGGTCCAAAGACACCACCATCCCCTGAGGGATCCCGTGTAGGATAAGGACAAATGAAGCGTCCATACAGGGGTCATTAATGGCTGCTCACATCTTAGAGAAGGAAGAGTCCGGGTATCTTGGTTGCCATATACTTTGGTGGAACAGTGGCCAGTCATTAAAATCACATGGGTGTTGTCTTCTGTGGCGTAGAAGACAGTAGTAGTAGTTAGGGTTTCAGACGAGAGCTGGTGAAAAGCTACCGGCTTTGGAGCCCTGGCTGGAAGAGCTAGATTGGACAGCTTTAGCCCCATGGCTCAAATGCTCAGCTCCTGTCCCTGGTCCTTGGTTGTCACCACGCCCATCGCACTAGATGGGGACGTGAATGGCTGCCTGGGCCTGCCTTTCTTTCGGGTCTTGAAGAAATGTGCTCCACCAATCCTACCTCTCTGTGGCACTGGACTTCCTGGATTTATTTTGGGAACTAGGGCAGACTCTCCCTCGCCACCCCATATACACACTAGTTAGCTTCCCTTCCCTTCTTTTCCCTTCCCCACTTCTGTGTGGCTCCAGAGATCTTGGACATGTGCATGGTTTACGATGGGGAGGTGTTGAGAGGGGCAGGGAATCCTGGAGGGCAGGGGGTTGGGCCGGGGAGGGGGATTTGCATTTTCGGCCTCAGAAATGCTGTGGGCATGCTTTTGGGCCACGTGTGGGGTTTTCACATGAGCCATGGAAGGGGCGAATGCCCAGCCCTCACGCTGGTGGTGGAACCTAGGGCTTTGGCCTCCTTTTGGCATAGGGGTCTATGAAGCTGTATTTCTGGTGGAGGGGTTGGACCTCCTGACAGTCATCTTGCAGTTCTTGAAAGGGTAGTTGTCAGCCACTCTATCAATGAGGATTTATATGGCCTCCCATGAACGAGAGGTGTGCCATGGCCGATGGTGTCCTGGCGGGGCTGGAGAAAGGGGATCATCTTGTGTCCCTCTGCAGGCACCAGGTTGTTCCCCTGGTCTCTAACCCCCAGCCAACTGCCTAGTCCAGTGTTTCTTTTCTGGATTCAGGAAGTAAGTGGGGGTGTATGTGTGTGTGTGTGGTATGTGTGGTATGTGTGTGGTGTGTGTGGTATGTGTGAGGTGTGCATGTCTGATGTGCGTGTCTGTGTGGTGTGTGTGTGTATTGTGTGTGGTGTGTGTATTGTGTGTGGTGTGTGTGTCTCTGGTATGTGTTGTGTGTATTGTGGTGTGTGTGTGGAGTGTGGGGTGTGGTATGGTGTGTCTGTGATGTGCGTGTATGTGATGCGGTATCTGGAGCGCGTGTGTGGTGCAGTGTGTGTGGTGTGTGTGTGTGTTGTGTGTGGTTTGGTGTATGTGTTGCGTGTGGTGTTCATGTGTGTTTGTGTGTGGTGTGGTGTGTCTGTTGTGTGTGGTGTGTGTGTGTTGCATGTGTGGTGTGTCTGTGGTGTGTTTAGTGTGCATGTACTGTGTGTGGTGTGTGTGTGGTATGTGTTGTATGTATATTGTGTGTGCTGTGTTATTGTGTGTAGCTGTGTGTGTGGGCTGTGGTGTGTGGTATGGTGTGTGTATGTGGTGTGCGTGTGTGTGTGTGTGAGATGTCTGGTGTGCGTGTGTGTGATGCGGTGTCTTTGTGTGGTGTGTGTGTTGTGTGGTTTGGTTTGTGTGTTGTGTGTGCTTTGTGTGTGTTGTGCGTGGTGTGTGTGTGGTGTGTGTTATGTGTGGTGTGTGGTGTGTGTGTTGTGTGTGGTGTGTGTGTGTGTTGTGTGTGTGGTGTGTTTGTTGTGTGTGTGGTGTGTTTGTTGTGTGTGTGGTGTGTCTGAGAGAGATTTGTACAGACGTGCTGATTTGCCTGCGTAGTGTCAGGCCCAGGAGACCCTCCTTTGGTTGGCTCCTTTCTAGACAACTTCTGTTTGGGTAGGAGGGTCAAATTAGTAATGCACCATCTTTAATGTATTTTTTATGGAGACTGTACATAAAATTGTATAAATCTCTAGAATTGGTTCTATTTTAAGGAGAGAGGGGAATGTATGTGGGGGGCAAGGATCAGATGCAATTGTGGAGAGTGGGAGCTTCGGGCGAGTGGTACTCATGGGGTATGGGGAGCGGGAGGGCAAGAGATGAGTGCCAGGCAAGATGCACAGGGGCCCGTGCCCTCTGCGCACGTATATAAATATAAAGAAAACCTAGATAAAGTCTATCTATATAGCTCTATATCTATATGAAGTCATAGTTTGCTTTATTTTTGTACCTGTGCTTAGAGATGTTTTCAGCAGTGCTACCTTCCCAGGCAGTCTGGGATACCAGCTCATGCCTTGATGCCACCTCCTTCCCTGCTTTTCCTTTGATATTCTCTCTGTTCAGAGTTTCTTGGGTCTTTCTGATGGAAATGTGTATATATATGAAAAGTTTGTAAAATAACAAAACAAATAACCCACCTGCAGGAAGGACAAGTGAGCTGAAGGTTGTGTGGAGCTGCAGGATCTGATAGCCCTAAAGAACCAGGACCCACGCGTCTCTTGCCACTTGGGAGGGATGTTGACTTGAACTTCTTTGCAGAGGTGCTTAACAGGGCAAGGCTGAGGAGATGAGAACTGTGACTGGATCTCCATGTGGCTGTGGGAAGGTACGAAGTTCCTCAGAGAGAACCCGGCTTTGCAGTGTTAGAAAGGGAGTGGTTGAGACTACCTAGGGACCTACAGTGACACCTGTCTTGGTTTGTAGCACTGTAGCTCAGATAGCTCAGACAGCTCCTAGAGGGCATGGCGATGGGAGAGTTTGTGAGGCTGGCTGTGTGGGCTTGGTCTTGGAGAACACATGGCCTGTTCAGTGTCACTGCAGATTCTTAGAGCCAGTGTGAATGTGATATATAGTATAAATATGTCATCTATGTTTTTTTCAGTGATTTTTAATTGGAAAATAAAGTGCCATTGCAAATGGGATGGTCCAATCCTGGGACACTGAGTGGAGGATGGGGAGTGAGAGATTAACTTTGGGCAGGACTGGGACAATAGGTCTTAGTGGCCTCCAGCCGGGGACTTAGAAAACTGAACAATGTATTGGTAGAACTGGACCCGCAGCGGGAGATTCTGGAGAGCAGGAGTTCACTTGTATTTGAGCAGGAAGCAGTGTGCCCTGAAGAATACCTCTTTGAGCAAATTCCAGACCTCACACACATGCAGGGGCCCTGCCTTGCAGCCTCAGCAAGCGTCTCCTGGGTGCTAGCTCCTTCCTGACTTGCCCGGAGCTCAGAGTGCTGTGTTTGAAGCCGATGCTGGGCCAGATGGTGCAGGCAGCGAGGAGAGACTCAGGACTGCAACCTTTCGGCTCCTTATTCCTGCTCATCACTCAGAAAA